AGTGAAATAAGTCCAGGAGAGAAGCACAATGATCATATGGTTTCACGGGGAATATAAGAAATAGTGAAAGGGATTATAAGTGAAAGGAGGGACTGCAGTGCAACAGTGCAATTGCTGGGTCGTAGGGCAGGTCTATTTTTAACTCTTTGAGGAACCTCCACGCAGTTTTCCAGAGTGGCTGCACCAGTTCACATTCCCACCAACAGTGTAAGAGGGTTCCCTTTTCTCCGCATCCTCTCCAACATTTGTGGTTTCCTGCCTTGTTAATGTTCCCCATTCTCACTGGTGTGAAGTGGTATCTCATTGTGGTTTTGATTTGTATTTCCCTGATGGCAAGTGATGCAGAGCATTTTCTCATGTGCGTGTTGGCCATGTCTATCTATGCCTTCCTCTGTGAGATTTCTGTTCATGTCTTTTGCCCATTTCATGATTGGATTGTTTGTTTCTTTAGTGTTGAGTTTAATAAGTTCTTTATAGATCTTGGAAACTAGCCCTTTATCTGATACGTCATTTGCAAAAATCTTCTCCCATTCTGTAGGTTGTCTTTTAGTTTTGTTGACTGTATCCTTTACTGTGCAAAAGCTTCTTATCTTGATGAAGTCCCAATAGTTCATTTTTGCTTTTGTTTCTTTTTCCTTCTTGGATGTATCTTGCAAGAAGTTACTGTGGCTGAGCAAAAGAAACTCAGCCACAGTAATTTCAATTTTTTAAATTAAATTTGCCAACAAATAGTATAATACCCAATGCTCATCCCATCAAATGCCCTCCTCAGTGCCCGTCACCCAGCTACCCCATCCCCCTACCCACCTCCCCTTCTGCAACCCTTTGTTTCCCAGAGTTAGGAGTCACTCATGGCTGTCTCCCTCTCTAATTCCCCCCCCCTCAGTTTCCCTCCTTTTTCTTTCTCTTTTTCGGAGACTTCTGTGATACAAATAGTATTATGCTTTAAGGAGTTGCTCAGTTCCCTAGGTGTACATTTACAATCCAGTATTTTATTTTCCTCCTTTTTTTCAGCTTCATTGTTTTTTTTTTTTCAGCTTCATTGTTTTCTTTTTTTTTTTTAATTTTATTTATTTATGATAGTCACAGAGAGAGAGAGAGAGAGAGAGAGAGAGGCAGAGACATAGGCAGAGGGAGAGGGAGAAGCAGGCTCCATGCACCGGGAAGCAGGCTCCATGCACCGGGAGCCCGACGTGGGACTCCAGGATCGCGCCCTGGGCCAAAGGCAGGCGCCAAACCGCTGCGCCAACCGCTGATCCCAACTTCATTGTTTTCCATAATTTTAACTTCTATATCAGTGAGTCATTCCTCTGATTCATCCATCCTCATTGTCTTGGCATCCATTCAGGTTTGAGTTAGTTATAGCATTTACATTTTGGCCTGACTAGTTTTTTAGTTCTTTTATCTCTGCAATAAGGGATTCTCTAGTGTTTTCTTTGTTTTTCTCAAGCCCAGCTAGTATCCTTATAATTAATTGCTTTAAAATCTAGTTTAGGGGGATCCCTGGGTGGCGCAGCGGTTTGGCACCTGCCTTTGGCCCAGGGCGCGATCCTGGAGACCCGGGATCGAATCCCACATCGGGCTCCCGGTGCATGGAGCCTGCTTCTCCCTCTGCCTGTGTTTCTGCCTCTCTCTCTCTCTCTCCCTGTGTGACTATCATAAAAAAAAATTTTTTTTTAAATAAAATATAGTTTAGATATGTTACTTATAACTGTATTGATTAAATCCCTAGCCATTACTTCTTCCTGTTCTGTTTTTTGGGGTGAATTCCTCTAAATTACCATTTTGTCTGGGTTATTGTGTTTTGTTTTGTTTGTTTGTTTTTGATGGTAAAGCCTGTTTTATTCCTGCTCCTGAGAGTAATGACTGTATTGAGACTTGTCAAAGGGAAAAAAGGCAGCTAGAGCCTAGGCATATTTTGGTGTGCTTGTCAAAACAAGCTAGATCATAAAATTAAAAAAATAAATAAATAAAATAAAATAAAATAATAAAAAGTAAGCTTGATCCTACTTCCTCTAGAAATGAAACTTGGTGAGTGTGAGAAATTTGTACTGGTCTTCTGGGGGTGAGGCCTTCTTGCTGATTCTCAGGTGAACTATCCCTAGTGTAGAAGTATCTGCAGGGGCCCAGGGGGCAGGGCTTGGTGTATGCTGCTTAGGCCAGCACTGGGTGGTGCTATTTTTCATACTGAAGTCAGTGAGTGCTGATATATGGGGGGTGGACTTGGGGAAGAGGTGTAGAAATGGTGTGCCAGGCTCTCAGGTCCTCAGAGCAGGAAGTTCATGTCCACCACTCTTCAGGAAGCTCTCACAGGAGAGCAAACAATCACTCCTTTAGTGTTCCTGGCTTCACCCAATCCCTGCCTTCAGTCTGCCTGTGTCAGAGCTCTCTGCCTGTCACGTGGCAGGGTACTCCTGTGTTTTATCTCAGGGGCATGGCAGAGTTTCAAGACTCTAAATTTTAGAGATGCACCTGACATGGCTGTGTGCTGAACCTCTGGGGGACTGTGTTGACATGCTTTTGCCATTTGCCAATTTGTCTCAGAAATCAGTCATGCAACCATGCATCATTTCAGAGTTTATGGTTTGTAGGAACTTATCCATTTCTCCTAGGTTGCCCAATTTGTTGGTGTACAATTTTTCATAATATTCTCTTATAATCCTTTGTATTTCTGTGGTGTGAGTTATTTCTCCTCCTTCATTTCTGATTTATTTATACATCCTCTCTTTTTCTATTCATGATGAGTCCAGCCAAAGTTTTTATCAATGTTGTTTATTTAAAAAAAAAAAAAACCTCCTGGTTTCATTAATCTGTTGTATTGTTATTTGAGTCTCTATTTCATTTATTTCTGCTGTAATTTTATTATTTCCTTCTACTGGATTGGGCTTTGTTCTTCTTTTTCTTGCTTGTTTAAGTGGAAGGTTAGCTTCTGTATTTCCAATTTCTCTCACGTCTTGTGGCAGACTATCCTGCTATAAACTCTTCTTTTACAACAGCTTTGGCTGAATTCCCCAAATTTTGGATCATTGTGTTTTCATTTTCATTTTCCTCAATGTATTTTTAAAAATTTCCTCTTTGATTTTCTTGGTTGACCCATTCATTGTTTAATAAATAATGTGTTGTTTAGCCTCCCCATATTCTCTCCAGGTTTTTTCTTACGATTGATTTCTAGTTTCATATTTTTGTGGTCAGAAAAGATGCATGAAGTGATTTCTATTTTTAAAAAATTTACTGAGACTTGTTTTGGAGAATGTTCTATGTGCACATTAAAAGAATGCATATTGTGCTGTTTTAAGATGGAATGTTCTGTATATATGTGTCAGGTCCATCTGGTCTATTGTGTTATAGAAATCCACTGTTTCCTTGTTGATTTTCTGTCTGGATATTCTATCTATGGATATATGTGGGGTGTTAAATTTCTCCACTATGATTGTGTTACTATCATTGTCTTCCATTATGTCTGTTAATGGCTGCTTTATGTATTTAGGTGTTCCCAGGTTGGGTGCATAAACATGTACAATTGTTATAAACTTTAATTGGATAAACTTTATCATTATGTAATGTCCTTTTTGTCCCTTGTTGCACATCACCTTTGTGCTGTTTTATTCAATATAAGTATTTCTATCCTAGCTTTCTTTTCAACTCCACTTGTATGGTAAAGGTTTTTCCGTCCATTCATTTTCAATCTGCATGCGTCTTTAGGTCTGAAATGAGTCTCTTATAGAGAGCATAGAGCTGGGTCTTGATTTTTATCCATTCAGTAACCCCGTGTCTTTTGATTGGAGCATTTAATTCATTTACTTTTAAGGCAATTATTGACACATGTACTTATTGTCATTTTGTTACTTGTGTTACAGTTGTTTTTGTAGTTCTTCTCTGTTCCTTTAGTCTCTTGCTCTTTTCACTTATGGTTTGATGGAATTCTTTACTGCTATACTTTGATTCCTTTTCTTTATTTTCTGTGTCCATTATAGGTATTTGATTTGTGGTTACCTGTAAGTTCATATATAACATCTGTCTGTATATGTACAGCTGTCTATAGTGTTAACAGTCACTTAAGATTGAATTCATTCTAGAAGCACTACATTTTTATTCTCCCTCCCACATTTTCTGTATATTATGTCCTACTTTACAGCCTTTTATTTTGTGTATCCACTGACTGATTTTTGTAGATATAACTGATTGTTACTGCTTTTGTGCTTTAACTGGTCCATATTGGTTGTATAAGTGATTGATCTACTACTTTTATTATATATTTGCATTGACTTGTGAAATGTTTTTCCCTTTCATCAATTTCTTCCTCCTAATATGGTATTTTCTTTTAACTTCAACAATTTCCTTTGACATTTCTTATCAGGCTGGTTTAGTGGTGATGAATGCCTTTAACTTCTGTTCATCTGGGATATTCTTTATTTCTCCTTCTATTCTGAATAGTAGCCTTGCAGGATAGAGTATTCTTGGTTACAGTATCTTAAATGTATCCTACTACTTTCTTTTGGCCTGAAGAATTTTTTTTCTTTTTTTTTTTAAAAAGATTTTATTTATTTATTCATGAGAGACACACAGAGAGAGAGGAAGAGACACAGGCAGAGGGAGAAGCAGGCTCCATGCAGGGAGCCAGATGTGGGACTCTATCCCGGGTCTCCAGGATCAGGCCCCTGGCTGAAGGAGGCGCTAAACCGCTAAGCCACCCGGGCTGCCCCTGGCCTGAAGAATTTCTGCTGAAAACTCATCTGATAACCTTATGGCTTTGCCCTTGTGTATATCTGTTTCCTTTTTCCTTGGTGCTTTTAAAATACTCTCTTTATCTTGATGAAGTCCCAATAGTTCATTTTTGCTTTTGTTTCTTTTGCCTTCTTGGATGTATCTTGCAAGAAGTTACTGTGGCCGAGTTCAAAAAGGGTGTTGCCTGTGTTCTCCTCTAGGATTTTGATGGAATCTTGTCTCACATTTAGATCTTTCATCCATTTTGAGTTTATCTTTGTGTCTGGTGCAAGAGAGTGGTCTAGTTTCATTCTTCTGCATGTGGATGTCCAATTTTCCCAGCACCATTTATTGAAAAGACTGTCTTTCTTCCAGTGGATAGTCTTTCCTCCTTTATCGAATATTAATTGACCATAAAATTGAGGGTCCACTTCTGGATTCTCTATTCTGTTCCATTGATCTATGTGTCTGTTTTTGTGCCAGTACCATACTGTCTTGATGATCACAGCTTTGTAATATAGCTTGCCTTTCAGAATTGTGAGGCCACAAGCTTTGTTTTCTTTTTCAACTTTCCTTTGGCTATTTGGGGTCTTCTGGTTCCATACAAGTTTTAGGATGATTTGTTCCAGCTCTGGGAAAAATATTAATGTCTTTCAGCCTTCTTATTGGAGTACCTTCTCATTGCCTCCTAGGTTAACCCCAGGAGATATTACTACAATGAAAGCTTCAGCAAGTTGTCCTTCTGACCTCCTTCATCTCCATCTGGGACAGTGCTCCCAGACTACTAGGTGTCCCCAATTCAAGCTTACCTGGAGGACATTCACCTAAGCCTACTGTGTGCCAGGCCTGTTCGAGACACGAGGGCAAAACAGGGGTGAAGCAGCAGGGAGGTCCTCATTCTCATATGGCTGACAGAATAGTAAAAATTAAGTTAAACATACACAAAGTCAGGTATTGATATGTACTATGAGGAACAATAAAGTCAGGAAGGAAGTGTGAGCAAATTGCTGAATGCATTTAGGGAGCAGACAAGTACAGTGGAAAGATACTTCAGTCTGGAAGAACAAGTGCAAAGGCCCTGTTGATAGTCTTATTTTATGGTTTGGTTTCTTAGCTTTACCTGGAGTCATATTTTGCTTTTATGCGTAATGCTAGGTTTCACTTCTGAGGTAATTAAGCTGAACCTGGTCATCAATTTGTTAATTTCAGCAAATTCTACAAGAGTAATTCAAAGTAGAAACAGAAGTGATTTGGGACTAGTCAGCACATGTTTATTGAAGGGCCTCCCTGGTCTCAGCATTGTTAGGAATGAGAAGGCTGTGAATGAACATGATGGGTCTCTATCTTGATGATTCCTGTCAATGAACTTCTTCCACATCCTCAGTCCCCTTCCACTCTCAGGTGGGTTATGACCTCTGACCTTGATGGTCTTGGTTCCCTGTGTTCATCTCCTTCCAGCCTTCTCTGTCTCTGTTTATCCCAAACTTCTCAAAGTCTGGGTCCCACACTGACCTACTCCCTTGCATCATCTCTTGCTGAAGTCCCTCTCTTTGAGGGAAGCCCCTAATAGCCCCACCAACATGCCCTGAGAAAGCCTCTTCTACATATCCTCCAATGTATCCCCTGCCATGATTCCATTTCTGAAGGACCCCCTGTCATTCTCTCCTTCCCTGCCCCCGCCACCAAGCTGTGCCTCAACCTACCCCCGAAGGCTCCTTGAGGGTTGCACAGTTACACTTGGGGACACTGAGGGCACACAGGCATTGTTGCTGAAAATGACAAGCAGTACCCCAGAGCAGAAGACAAACAATCACTCCCTGAGCAGCTGGAACTCATGCTGTTGTGGCTATAAGATGCCAGTAAAGAAGGTGAGACCAACATTGGGCTGCAGTCCCTTCCCACCTGTCCCTCAGTGTGCCCCTGTCTTCATGCCTCAGCCTGGGTATACTGTTCCTCTTCCTAATATGTTAGAGATACAACCATTCATTCACTTACTTGCTCATTCATTTGTCTTGTATTTGGCTACTGTTGAGTGCCAGGCTTTGGGTAGATGGTCACTCATTCTGGAACTTCTAGGTTAGATGTCACCCCTTCCTTGAAGTACTTCTCGAACCCCACACTTTCTCCCTGCACCCTCACATCTGTGAGCTCCAAGTGTTGTGTTCACACTTCAATGACCTCTCCAGCCTGTGAACTCTGTGAAGACCCTTGGCCATTGCAGAAAGGGGCTCAGAACAATGCAAAGATGGTTTAATGATGAATAAGTGAAAGGATTAAACACAGACAGGTCAAGTTCACCAAAGATAGGATTCTTCTCCCACCCTCCCTCTCTTCCTCCAAGATCAGGTGCCCCAGGGTTCTGTTCTAATCCTCACCTCTCTGGAAACTTTAATCTTTGTTTACACTTTGAAGACAGCTTAGGCCTGTATCCTTCAGTAGTATGAAACCTAATTACCACTTGAAGGGCAGCCATTCCTCTGTTGTGTCTGAGGCAACACAAGACAACATGGAAGCTCAGTTTATTGGCAGGAAGATATCTCAGTGGCTGGGCCATGGGGCAGCAGGAAGTGGGGAAACAGGACCAGGACGCTGAGCTCACCACCTCCTCTCTCCTGACCACATCCTTTTATATTTAACCAAATAGACTGTAACTATCTGAGGATCAACCTGTCTCCTAGATAGGAGATCTATTCTTCAGGGACAGCTTTAGGAGCCCCACACCTAAGGTTTCGACTCTGTGTGTGAATTAGGACAAATCACTGGTGCCTTTGGAACTCCTGTTCCTAACCCTAAGTGAATCAGGCAGTGATGCTCTGCTAGAGCGGCTGCTGGAGGTGGAGCTTGAGCAGGTGCCTGGCACTGGTCACTGTAAGACATTGCAGTTCCTGTGATACCCTGTTACTGCTGTCCCTGAGATCCCGCCTACTCCATAGCCATGTGTGTTGAATGCCTGGGTGGAGAGATGCCAGAGTGAGTAAGAGAAGGGCAGGTGCTTCCAGGGTAACATTGAAATACAGGGGACTTGACTTTCCTCCCTCATGACATCCAGCTGTACCAGGATCTGATGCCACTGGCCACACACTCTGAGCTTGCACAGTCTCCTGGGAACTCTGATGACAGTTTATTGGCTTGGACCACAGAATGATGGAGGTTATGTCAATAGCAGCTTAGCAACAGAGGTCAGGAGACCCCAGGGCTTTTCGAAGCACGTTGGTGATTGGAGCCTGACATGGCAGAGCATTGACTGTTGGGGTGCCCAGCCTTGGATGCTCACATCCATGGTCATCCCATCCTGAAGGCACCCAATTGCTTCTGATCTCTCAAGCTAAGTAGGCTGGACATGGTTGGTCCTCGGTTCAGAGTAGACTAGGAATATCAGTTGCTGTGGGCTTTAGCAGTCTGTTTCTTCTCTCATCCCTTTCTCCACATGCCATTGCCACAACACTTCCCTTACTCCCCAGCCATCAGGGGGTCTGTCCATTGCTGGAGCCCTGGTAGGGGTGGGTGGCTTCAGGAGTTCTGAAAAAGTACACATGGCTGACTGGTGCCTTCTGGGTTTGCTGAGAGTTGAAGGTTGCTAGGGCAAGTTAGACTTGGCTGGAAGGCAGTGCTCAATGCCATGGAAATGTATCATGAAAAGGTTGTGAGGGAAAATTTTATAGATTTGTAGAAAATAAATTATGATGTGAAGTGTAAAAAAGCCAAACCTAAATGTCCACGAATCATAAAATTCTTTTTTCTTGAAATATACTAAATAGGCAACTCCATAGAGACACAAAGCACACTGGTCATCACCAAAGAATGGGGAGAGTGGAATGGAAAGTGACTACTAAAGGGGTTAGTGGGTTTCTTTCTGAGGTGAAGTGTTCTGGATTGGGGACAGATGATGCCTGCACAACTTTGTGAAGACATAAATCACTGAATTGTATCCTTTTCAAAGGGTGAATTTTATGGTATGTGAATTATATCTTAGCTGTAAACACTGTGGTTAATCAGTAAAAAATCTCTTTAGAGCTTTAACAGGAGCAATGCTTTTTATCCTGAGTAATTTTTGCTTCCCATTCTACTAACCTCTGTAGACTTCAACAAAGACCTCCAAATGAGAAAGAGCACTGTGTATTCAGAGACAACTGTATGCAGCAAGTGAGTCCGCTATCATATTTGCTTTGGCAGACTCAGAGACAGGAGGAGGAGCAGGAAAGCTTTGTGGTACAGGAAAAGGAAAGCATGCCTTCATCCCAGGTAGTGGTGTGCTATGAGGAAGCTGGAGATGGGTTGACTATAAGCATCCTAGCTGATTGCTTAGGGGAACATATTTGACTTTCCCCGTTTGGTTCTTAGTTGAAAGAAGGATTAAAAATGAGGAAGATAAAAAAAAAATGAGGAAGATATCAGACATTGACCAAGTCCTGAGAGGTTGGGATCTGGATTTCTGGGCTGGTTGCTTCAGATTTTGTGTGAGACCATATGTGTGGGCTGCAGGGAGAAGATCCTTGGCCTTCAGGGGATTCAAACTCTGCATACCCAAACCCCTACTTCATCATCTTTAATCAGTCAAATTCTGTGGAATGAAAAACTTGATTCATATTTCCGTCATTGACGGCGAACAATATTACCATTAAAATAATGAAGAGTAAGTATAACAATGGTAATTTGTATTGCCACAAACAAACCTCAGGAATTTCTACCTTCCTAATGTCTATCATATACTGGATTTCAGTGACAGGCAAACAATTGTTAAATCATTCTATTTTCTATTCAACCCCATGACCATCTGGTGGACCTTCTGGGAATAGGCAACAGGTGACAGCCAGCTGTTGAGAAGGTCACTAGTTAGGATCCCAGGACACCACCAGGATGACATCACTCATGCAGATGGCCTCCCTAAGTAGCCCTCTAGCAGCAAGTCCAGATATGCTCTCATGAACATTTCCCAGTGAGGTCCAGAGAAAACTATAAACAGCTGACAGGTAACCCATCACTTCTCATGAAAATGGCACTCAGATGGCTCTAGGACCCAAGGTGATGAGAGTGGAACACCAGGTGACTGGACCAAGGACTTCAAACCCTCATTGATGGTAATACAGGGAAGCTTCTCACATCAGCCATTTGGAGAGGGTCCCCAGCTACTTAGTGGGGACTTTTAATAATTGTGACATTCTAATGAGTATATATGGGAGGATCCACTGTATTTGGGAGGCCTCCTGGTGCCCTCCATGCACATCCATGAGAGATCCCCACTACCAAGCAATGTTTGGAAAAATTAGAAAAGGAAAAACCACCACTGGGGTGCACAAAGAAGTACATAGGACATGAACACTGTCTCCTCTTTGGTGCCCAGCACTCCCACTAGTCCCCATGGGCAAAGGGGCACTGGAGCACACCAGTTGATCTTTTCTTGTCACTTCAGTGACTCTGGAGCACAGTGCTGGCCCGTACCCTTCTCCAGAGCCACTCCTGGGGAAGTGGATGGTGTGCCAACACTCTGGCACCCCAGCAATGATCCTGGTAGTGCACAGGGCTCCTGGAGTACTGTTTCCCTTTCTGCACTGAAATCCTATCTATTGCCCATTTCCCTGGAGTTCTGGAGGAAGAAGATATATAAGTGTCCACCAGCTATCCCTGACACCTGAACAGTCATCAGCTGAAAAGACATGGATCATTTCTGCTTGAGCCTTGGATCTCCAACCTGGGCCCATGAGAGGTGTTTTGCATCCAGTGTGGCCATGGGTGCCTCTGCTATGAGCCTCTTGGCCTGCAGGGCAGATCCTGGCAGAAGGAAACAGACTTGGAACAGTTTATCAGCAGGGCCTAGGAACTATCATTTACTGGAGTGATGGCTATTGAGAAGGGTAGAACTTCCTCACAGAATTCTCATGGCTACGGGGTCTGCTTCCAAGCTCCGGAGGAATATGAAAATTTTCCTGGTGCTGTGGAGAGGACAGCCCTTCACAGTGTTCTCACAGTAAGAGTAGAGTTCCCAGGCTCCCAGTGGCCTTGTGAAATATGTAGGGGTGTGGGCAGGCATGGACTGTAAAATTGGAACCACGAATCATATTTAGTCCATAATTCCAGCCTGCACATCTCTCTTACATTCTTAAAAACCTCCTAGAAGGGCAGCCCCGGTGGCGCAGCGGTTTAGCTCCACCTGCAGCCTGGGGTGTGATCCTGGAGACTCGGGATCGAGTCCCACGTCAGGCTTCCTGTATGGAGCCTGCTTCTCCCTCTGCCTGTGTCTCTGCCCCTCTCTCTCTGTCTCTATGAATAAATAAAATCTTAAAGAAATAAAAATAAAAACTTCCTAGAAGCCACAAAGGAAAGATCAATAAACTTGACCACATAGAGTGTAAGCAAGTTGATCTTTACATGTCCAACAAGAAAAGTCAATACCAATAACGAATGTGGGATCATTTGCAAATACATATACAATAAAAACAGTAATATCAGCATCACATGTTATAATAATAGAACATGTGTTTTTTATTTAAATTCAATTAATTAACATATAATGCATTATTAGTTTCAGAGGTAAAGTTCAGTGACTCATCACTTGTGTATATAACACCCAGTTCTTGTTACATCACGTGTCCTTCTTCCTGCCTATCACCCAGTTACCCCATCCCTCCACATCTCCCCTCCAGCCGCCCTCAGTTTGTTTCCCATAGTTAAGAGACTCTCATGGTTCGTCTCCCTCTCTGATTGCATCTTGTTTTATTTTTCCCTCTCTTCCTCTATGTTCCTCTGGTTTGTTTCTTCATTTCCACATATGAGTGAAATCATATGGTAATTGTCTTTCTCTGACGGACTTATTTGGCTTAGCACAATATCCTCTAGTTCCATCCATATCATTGCTAATGGCAATATTTCATTTTTCATGGCTGAATAATATTTCATTGTAAATACATACCACATCTTCTTTATCCATTCATCTGTCAATGGACATCTGGGCTCTTTCCATAGTCTGGCTATTGTGGAAATTGCTGCTATAAACATTGGGGTACAGGGGCCCCCTCAGACCCCACAGTTGTATGTTTGGGATATATACCTAAGACTGCAATTTCTGGGTCCTAAGGTAGCTCTATTTTTAACTTTTTGAGGGACCTCCATACTATTTTCCAGAGTGTCTGTACCAGCTTGCATTCCCACCAGCAGTGTAGTAGGATTCCCCTTTCTCCTCATCCTAGTCAACATTGATTTTTTGCTGACTTGTTCATTTTAACCATTCTGATTGGTGTGAGATGGTATCTCATTGTGGTTTTGATTTGTATTTCCCTGAGCTGAGTGGTATGAAGCATTTTTTCTTGTGTTTTTTGGCCATTTGTATGTCTTCTTTGGAGGAATGTCTGTTCATGTCTTCTGCCCATTTCTTGACTGGATTATTTGTTCTTTGGGTGTTGAGTTTGAAATATTCTTTATAGATTTTGGATACTAACCCTTTATCAAAACAGAACATTTGTAAAAAAAAAAAAAATAGTCATGAAGAGGGACCAGGTAAGTAAATTCTAGCATATCAACACAATGCAGTGCTATCCATTTGTGTTGTGGTTTGTTTATATTATTATAGGATACATTTATAGCTTTTTTTTTTAAGATTTTAAAAATCTATTTATGACAGACACACAGAGAGAGGCAGGCTCCATGCTGGGAGCCTGATGTGGGACTCAATCCCGGGACTCCAGAATCATGCCTTGAGCCAAAGGCAGATACTCAACCCCTGAGCCACATTTATAGATTTATAGATTCTGACAGAGAAAGATGTTGATAATAAACTTTTAAAGGAAAACAGCAAGTGGCAGAAATCCAAGATGTAAAAAGAAAAGAAAAGTACATGGAAGTTTTTAAACTTATGCAGAAAGGCAAGGAATTGGAATAACTCAAACGATTGTGAAAAACAAGAATAAAGTCTTCCCCGTATCCTGGTGTCAGTAGCCACAAAGGAGATTATCTTCAGAGACATTTATGAGCCACACCTCCTGCTTTCTGCTGTCTCCTGCTATATTCTCCTGGCAGGTAGCTAGCATGCCAGCCCCTCTCTGCTCCTCTGAGACCCTAGCCAAACTGGGAGCCAGTAGGACCCTGACTTTATAGGCCAAGCTTCCTATGTCCTCAGCCTTTCCCCTCATAGCCTTTCCCCCTAGCAATTCACTTACCTGCCCCAATCCTTCCAGCCTGGGGCTGCTTTTCCAGACCTACCCCAGTGCAGTCCTTCACCCCAAGAACTTTGGGCTGTGTTCCCAAAGAAAGTTGAATCCTTTGTAGAAGAGGGAGGAAGCAAGAATCAATGACTCATTGCACCTGGACCCACTGCACACACTTTGTGGCCATTCAACAACTAAAAACACAAGACCGACAGGCATCTCTAGTTTGCATGGTCATAACCATTACTCTCTGGAAACATGGGGGCACAGTCACAACTCTAGGGGTGCCAGGAAGAGAGGGGAAAGATACACATACACACACCCATCCTGGGGGCTAATTGGTACTCTTGCCAGGACAGGCAGGGGTGAGAGAAGAAAAGAGACCCTTGATGCCACTTGTTGGGTCCCAGCTGGATCAGACAGATTGTGGCTGTCTTACTGGTGTGACTTTGGGGAGCTGGAGCCTGTAGCTTCCTCGTCTGTCATTTTCTGACCAACACCCTGCATCCTGTTCTGTCTGCCCTAGTCCTCCTCAGCACGGAGTTCCAAATTAAGAAAATAATACTCTGCATACATGGTGTTTGATTTTCAAAATTAAATAAAAGTTAACACAGTGGGAGATTGAGGTGTTGTGAATAAGTTTGGTAAGGGGATATTGTTTATCCTTTTTGAAGCTATCAAGATGTTCAAGTATAGAGTATATAAAAACATTTGAATGTTTAACATTAGGGAAAATAAATGACTCCTCATTGCTCTCTCTTGCTCAGTCCCACAGTCCTCCCAGCGCCATAACCTGGACTCACCTGATGAAACACCTACCTTTGCACTGGTCTAGATACTTCTCTCACTTATCTCTGCCTTTTCTTTTCACCACATGCCTAAGGCCCCTGCACTCCCTAAATGATACGAAGGACTTGTTTGTCCCCTGAACCCAAGGACTGGAGAAACAAAAGAAATAAAAGAGAAGAGAAAAGAGAAAAGAAGAGAACCTTTCCCATTTGTTCCGTGAAGTCACTCTACTCATGGAAGCTGGAACAGTGAGTGTAAATGTAGGCAGGAGATTCTTTCCACAGCAGACCTGACCTGCACCTAAAATGGTGAATATAACTAGCATCAGTATTTCCTGAGTGCACTTTTAACACCCAAGCCAAAAGGAGAAACCTGGCTATTTGGCCAAGATGGCTCAGTTCAGCAACAAAGTCAAGTCCCTACTTATCTGTTATTTCATTGTCAGGAACTCAGCCACCACCTCTCCTATGTATTCTCATCCAGGAACAGTTTGAAAACCGGGCTGATAAAACTGGGGAAAGAAAAAGAAGCCACGAGAATCCAGAATTTGGAAGCATCACTGGACACACCAGGCAGGAATCCCCCACCAATCACCTGGGGATGATGCTCTCTCGGCCCAACCCACAGGGGTGCACTGACAGGGTGAGCCCCCACATCTCCTGGGGTCCAAAGGAAGGGAGTTGCTCTGCACTTTAAGGAGATATTATCCTAATCTCATAGATGACAATATGAAAATCATGCGGTTTTATACTTGAAGTAGACTTTCTGCTCACAGTTATTATTTCATTAGTTTTAATTTTCAGGATGAAACATAAAGTCCGAGGAAACCCTCAGCATAATCACTTGGGGACTCATGTCTCCACAGCAAAGACACTAGTCCTGAACTTCTCCTTTCAGAATTCTTGGGTAACTGCACCAGCATTTGTTCTCCGGCATGCATGTCAGCACTTTAGAGCTCGAAACCTCCCTGTTGTGCCCTGTTCCCACTCTCTGGATGCACCTGCCATCTGTTAGCATGGCTCCTCTGTATGTGGGATTCAAGCAATACCAGAGCTTCTACCCTCGCTCTGCTTTCCATCACCCTGGACATGTGCCAGTCCTCTTTAGATCTGTTTAATGGCTGGTAGAAAAACCCAAGAACTCATGTCATGCTGGAGGGTCCGTGACTCTCATCACATGAGGCCGGCTATGACAACTCCTTGCACAGGACCGAAGCTGGAGTTCAGTCTTTATGAGTCCAATGTTGGTACCACAATCCCCATAGGGTAAATAGAGTCACCAAATACAGACTAAAGTTTAAATTGCAGGGAAACTGGGTGATGTTCACATAGCCTCCTAGTACAGTGGTAACTGGAGGTCTGTCCCTCATTACCAGAATCATTCTTCACTCCATGATTGATGTGTAGGAAAGTACTTGTATACTGTGAAAAACTACCCAAATCAATGGTCATGATTAACTGCACTGCACAAATACTGATAATGTATTAGGAAGATGATGAATCACATTTCTGTGATCTTGAGATCTGTAAAAGAGAAAACATTTCAGGCATGATAGAGAATCTGCGACTTGGATTTACACGTATGCATTTATTGAATCCTCACATAAGCCTGCTACTTATGGAGTACTTAGCATTTAACAAGAGACAAGAGCTAGGGCCAGTAAGCTTTATTTAAAGGATAGTATGAGGTGTCTAGAAAATGGCAGAGCTACAACTTAAGTAGCTCTGCCTGTCTCTGAACCTCCAACCCCTAGCCATGCTGATTTTTTTTTATAAGAGTGGTTCATTTTTTTAAATTTTATTTTTATTCATGAGAAAGAGAGAGAGAGAGAGAGAGGCAGAGACACAGGCAGAGCGAAAAGCAGGCTCCATGCAGGGAGCCCCAAGTGGGACTCTATCCCGGGTATCCAGGATCGCCCTGGGCTGAAGGCGGCGCTAAACCGCTGAGCCACCCGGGCTGCTCGCCATACGCTGATCTTGAGGGCTAGATGTCAGACCCAGATTTTTCCTGAATGTGTCACCTCTCAGGTCACACCCAGAGACTCCTGGCCTCTTATCACACCCTCCTCTCCAACCTCTTCACAGCTGACCCCCACATGCAGTTTCTCCCAACCCAGGGGACTCTCTGGGGGAACTGACCCAACCCTGTAAGTCAGCTGTACCTCTCCTCAGTTCCGAGATCAGTCTCCTCCATGAGGATAACCCTCAGCCTTTCTGACTTCTAAGCACCTCCATCCCAGACAAGAATATCTCCCCTGCCTATGGCTGCAGCTTCATATCCTTACTGTGTTTTATAAATATCTGGCAACCCCATAGGCCTTGATAGTTAATCATTCTTCCTGCTTTGTAACATTTTGGACATTCCTCTTGTCTTTTGAATCTAGGAAATTCTCACCTATCTCCTTACCTCAGAAGGGCTCCTGTCCTATCTCACACTTGAAGAAGTACATCTGAAGCAAGGCTGCAGCTCCCTGCCATGGTGCTACATATTCCTGCATCTCTCTTCACTAGTGACTACTTTCCTGTTTAAATTCAAAGTCAGTGGGGTGCCTAGGGGGCTCAGTGGTTGAGTGCCTGCCTTCAACTCAGGATATGATCCTGTGCTCCTAGGATCTAGTCCCGCATCGGGCTCCCTGCAAGGAGCCCGCTTCTCCCTCTATGTCTCTGCCTCTCTCTGTGTGTCTCATGAATAAATAAAATCTTAAAAAAAAATTCAAAGTAAGTCTATGCCTGGATTAAGTTCAGGTTCTCAAAGGTATCCCCTTCTTTCCTGCTCTCTAGAAAACTAATTATTGATTATTTAGTAACTGCCAAACTGCATCGTATTTTTTAAAATTTTAATCTTTATTGAACAATTTTCCAGAGGGAGGGGCAAGATGGCGGAAGAGTAGGGATCCCAAGTCACCTGTCCCCACCAAATTACCTAGATAACCTTCAAATCATCCTGAAAATCTACGAATTTGGCCTGAGATTTAAAGAGAGACCAGCTGGAATGCTGCAGGGAGAAGAGTTCGCGCTTCTATCAAGGTAGGAAGACGGGGAAAAAGAAATAAAGAAACAAAAGGCCTCCGAGGGGGAGGGGCCCCGCGAGGAGCCGGGCTGAGGCCGGGGCGAGTGTCCCCAGGACAGGAGAGCCCCGTCCCGGAGGAGCAGGAGCTGCACCAACCTTCCCGGGCGGAAAGGGGCCCGCAGGGAGTTGGAGCAGGACCCAGGAGGGCGGGGATGCCCTCGGGCTCCCGGGGACACTAACAGACACCTGCGCCCCGGGAGAGTGCGCCGAGCTCCCTAAGGGCTGCAGCGCGCACGGCGGGGCCGGAGAAGCTCGGAGGGGCTCGGGCGGCGGCTCGCGGAGGGGGCTGCGGGGCGGGAGCGCGAATCCAACAGCGCAGGCCCCGGAGCACAGGGCGCCGGGACAGGCAGAGGCCGGGAGGGCCCAGGACAGCGAGGACGCTCCTGCCCCGAGCTGAGCAGATCAGCGGCCCCGCCCCGGAGCCTCCAGGCCCTGCAGACGGAGAGCTCCGGAGCTACTGCGGGGGCTGACTCCAGGGCTGCAGAGCTGGCCCCGCCACTGGGGTTGTTCCTCCTGGGCCTCACGGGGTAAACAGCCCCCACTGAGCCTCACAGTGGCCTCACCCGATAAACAGCTTAAATGTCTTTCACCGAGCCCTGCACCAGGCAGGGGGCTGAGCAGCTCCCCCAAGTGCTCACACCTGAAAATCAGCACAGTAGGCCCCTCCCCCAGAAGACTAGATAGAGGGACAGGGGAAAAACAAATTATTGACCAAGCAGCACTGGAAAGTTCCAGGGGAAGTCAAGGGACTTACAGTATACAGAACCAGAGGATACTCCCCCTTGTTTTTTTTTTTTTTTTTTTTTTTTTTTTTGCTTTTTGATTTCCGTTTGCTTCCCCCCCTTTTTTTTCTCTTTTTCTTCTCTTCTTTTTTTTTCTCTTTTTTTCTTCCTTTTTTCTTTTTCTTTCCTTCTTTCTCTCCTCTCTTTTTATCCTTTTCCCAATACAACTTGTTTTTGGCCACTCTGCACTGAGCAAAATGACTAGAAGGAAAACCTCACCTCAAAAGAAAGAATCAGAAACAGCCCTCTCTCCCACAGAGTTACAAAATCTGGATTACAATTCAATGTCAGAAAGCCAATTCAGAAGCACTATTATACAGCTACTGGTGGCTCTAGAAAAAAGCATAAAGGACTCAAGAGACTTCATGACTGCAGAATTTAGATCTAATCAGGCAGAAATTAAAAATCAATTGAATGAACAATTTTCCAATTCTTTTGACAGAGGAAATTGAAAAAAAAATGAATCTTTGATGACAGAGGCTCAGTCAACTTATGTAGGGTTAGTGGCATGTCCAATAGCCTATCATATAGAACCTAGCAGGATTCTGAGATTGTATACATTACCTTAAGAGATACAATACCAGATTGAATCTAAATCCACCAAAATTGATTGTAGAATCAAACTGATCAAATGTTGTTTTATCGGAGGCCTACCATGAGCACTCCATTTAAAGTAGCAGCCCCCACTCCATTCCCCAAATCTCTTGTCACCTGCTTTAGTTTAATTCATAGCTCTTATCATCACTTGACATATTTTTATATATTCTACACATTGTTCTTCTCTCTCCACTAGAGTATAATGCCTATAAGAGCTGAGACTCAGTATTGAATCCTCAGCACCTACAATGTAGGAACTCAATACATATTTATTAATTGAATAAATAGAAATTAGCTTTCTTGTAACTTTATTCTTTCTTCTAAGAACTAAAAACAGAAGCCCTGTTCAATATAACTAAGATCTAAAAAAAAAAAAAAAATTAAGATCTAGCTACTCAACACCAACACTGCCCCAATAGGACAAAGAACACAGGGACGAAAGGGCCAAAGGGCATGGGGACCAGAACAGACCCCAAACATAACTGAGGCAATCCATTGTCTCTTCACAAATAGAAGAACAAATTCCAGTGATGGGCAACACCATGAAGCCAATACCTACTGTCACATCCTTAGCAGAGCTCAGTGAAAGAGCAAATAACAACTATAATGCAATGTGGGAAAATCTATACAATTCTAGAATATCTTCAAGTAACCTCCTTTATTTAGAAACTCCAGGCTTTCTCCCAATCCAGGCATATAATCCCCTTCAGTCTCCATTCTAGAAATACAACCCACTTACCTCCTCCTCAACTGGTAAATCACAAGAAATTTCAGTGTCTGGGTGACAAGGTCCAAATCCAGGTGTACTCTGTGAGCATTTTGAAACAGCCCTCCAGGGATCCCTGGGTGGCGCAGCGGTTTGGCGCCTGCCTTTGGCCCAGGGCGCGATCCTGGAGACCCGGGGTCGAATCCCGCGTCGGGCTCCCAGTGCATGGAGCCTGCTTCTCCCTCTGCCTATGTCTCTGCCTCTCTCTCTCTCTCATTCTGTGTGACTATCATAAATAAATAAAAATTAAAAAAAAAAAATGAAACAGCCCTCCAGCCCCACCACCACCAAATTCCAGACTTGTCCTTGGATGGTCTCCACCAGTATCAGCAGACTGTAGTCCAATGGCCAAGAAGAGCTATTTCATATATTTTTTCCAGTTTCCAGGTGTTTGTGGTGAGGATAAGCCCTACACCAGTTACTGCTTCATGGAGGGTTTTAGAATGATCTGTTTATGTATCTGATTCCCATTCTGGACTATGAGCTCCCAAAGACATATAGGCCATGTTGGGCCCTGTGCCCAGTGCCAGATTGATTGTAATATTCATCATGAAATCTTTATGTTGACTCAGCACCAAAGACCACCACCATGAATTCCTCGTCCTTATACACATGCAATATGCTACTCCTCTCAGAGGTGGGGACTGTGCCTCCATCCTCATGAATACAGGCTGCCTTGTGACTGCTTTGACAGTGACACAAATGACACTGGGCCAGTTCTGGGCTTGCTTTTAAGAAATCTGGCAGCTTCCACTTTCTCTTGTAACTACTGTTCTTGGGCTGCTGTCCATGGAAGCCCAGGCTGTGCTGAGAGAAGGCTGAGCCACATAAAGAAATGATGCTCACACTTTGTTTCACTGACCACCGGAGCTCCCAGGAAACCAGCAGCTTCACCTGCCAGCCTTGTGAGGTAACCTAGTGGAGTCTTCAGTTGATGCAGCCACAGATGTCTTCTGCCTGCAGGAGCATGAGAAACTCTAAGCGAGAACCACCCAACTGAGCCCAGACTACTCATAGAACCATGTGAGATGATAATGTTGTTTGTAATCATGAGTTTGAGGATTACTTCCTCATTATTACATAATAACCCCTTCTGACTATAATAATCTCTTGAAAGAAAAATCTAATTTTAAAAAGGACTGTAAATTCTGTTAACAAATTTCAACTGACTAAATTTTAAAGATGTTGGCTTTATGCAAGGATTCGTGAATTAGGCAGCATCCAGTCTAGCAGATACAAAGGAGCTCAAGTGTCCAGAACCTGGTGGGAGTAGTTAGAACTTGGTGGGACTAGGGTGGTACACAAAGTAAAAAGAGGGTTGATTACTGCAAGGTTATTTTCCATTAGAGGAAGCAGGGTCTATCATGCAAGTTACCTAACTAGTGCTGTTGAGGTAATTCCTGAGTAGCTGGTTAAGATTCCATGTCTAGAACAGCCAAAATGGTAAATAAGTCAATTCTCAGTTTGGTGATGTGGGGCTTAACATAAACAACTCCATTCTGAGCCTGTAGTCTTGTTTTCAACAGTCCCTTGATGTCAATATCTGTGTATGTCATTGTTAGTTCCTTGTGTTTACTGGCACATTTATTCCCCCAAGTGCTTATTGAGTAGGTAGCATGTGCCAGGCCCATGTTGAGGGTAGGGATTCAGCTTCTAAAGTCCCAATCTCTGATGTTCCAGAGGCACAGACAACTTCTATACGTGAAAACACAAACAGGGCCATTTCAAGTAGTGATAAGAGTTGTTCATTCCTTGTTCCTGAGCCCCTATTATGTGGCTGGCACTGACCCAGGCTGCAGGCACATCAATGAGTAAGACACACAAACAGCCCTGCTGCTCCTGTGGAGCTGACACCATGCAGAGGACACTAAAACAAGCATCACCCAGCATGGTGAAAGGGGTCAGTGTCTGGAGACAAAAGCAGGGCTCAGAAAAATCAAGAGGTATAGTGGGAGCTGCTATGGGAGAGAGAGGAGCAGCCATGGGAAAAGAGATATGCAGGGCCTCATAACCACCCAAAGACCTGTCCTCTGCATGAGGGGAGCCACAGCCAGGTTCAGAGAAGGAAGACCAGCCCTGAGTTCTATGAAGGAGGTAACTGCTAGGGAGACTTGGGGCAAACAGGCTGCCTCTGTAGATCACGCAGGCAGGGGAGACTTCTCTGAGGAGGTAGCATATGAGCTGAGCCCTTGTACTGACCATGTATCTAGCTTCCATTAACTTGAGGCCTTACTGTCTGCATACATGCACTTACTGTTCTGGACACACATGTTCTGGAGGATCCTATGTCATGCCCAAAGTTACTGTGGCCTACTGCTTGCCCATTTCTCTCCTGCCAGAAATGCTTCTCAAACACATTCAGTCATCCATATCCCACACTTCCAGGTGCCCACTCTATGGCTCTCACACTCTGGGCCATGTGCCCTCTGGCCTAATCACCCAGGGCCACATACCAGACAGCAGGGGAAACCTCTATGCACCAGAGACCACAGAACCAACTCCAACTAGCCGATCTTGAGACTGCTAACCACGCCTTGCCCAGTTCTAGAGGAAACCACAATAAAGGATCTTGTCCACAAATTATAAGTTTTATCATAATTAACCATTTATATTTCTATAAAGGTGTGTTTTAGGGAATTTAAAACAACCATAGAAAGAGAGCTGGTTTGGTCTCAGTTAAATGAGCATTTGGTAGGAGGAATGAAGCGTGGACAGCAATCACTCAAGTATACACTAGAGACTCCTGGTAAGGAAAATTGAGAACAGAAAGAAGGAATGGTAAAGAGAGATGTCGCAGGTGACATGTGAGTCATATCTTGGTAAGAGAATGACACTGATGTCAGCCTGGAAGGAGGTCTTTGTGAAAGCACAGAGTGTAGGGAGTTTGGGAGCATAGCTAAGGGCTGAGGAGCCCATTTTTTAAAAAGATTTATTTATTTATTTATTTATTTATTTATTTATTTATTTATTTATTTATTTATTTATGATAGACATAGGGGGAGAGAGAGGCAGAGACACAGGAGGAGGGAGAAGCAGGCTCCATGCCCGGAGCCCCACGTGGGACTCAATCCCGGGACTCCAGGATCACGCCCTGGGTCAAAGGCAGGTGCTAAACCACTGAGCCACCCAGGGATCCCTGTGGAGCCCATTTTAACTGGACATTGTGATGTCAGGGATAATGAGCATGAGGTCAATCCTTCACTTTATGTGGATTTCTTTTTTTTTTTTATGTGGATTTCTTGAGTATTGATGATGTACAATGGATTTTCCTAGGGGACCAGCTGTGAAAACCACATAAAAAATCCATCTTGTTTGGTTTTCATTCACATGAAGGGTGGCAGAGGATAAACAAAGGAATCTGCAAATGTTATTGCATTTTAGAAACAGAAAGAGAAGTCAGGAAGGCAAACTGAGAGTAGGGAAGGAGCTACATATTAAAATGGATTAATTTACTAAGAAGGTGACACTCCTCCAGAGACCTTAAGAAGGAATGGATATGACCCAGCCTAGCCCAGCAGAGGAAGATGCTGAAGGAAGAGGAGCAACATACGCGAAGCCTGAGGACAGGGACTTGCCTGGTCGTCCCAGCAGCAGTGGGACGTCCTGAGGCAGAGTGAGGTGAGTGAGAGGAGGGGAACAGGGGTAAAGGCAGATGAAGTGGGGCCCCTCTGTGTAGGGTCACGGAGGCCACTGAGTGAGACACCACCCAGTGGAGCATTCTAAGCAGAAGAGGGACATGATCCACAGTTTATATGAGTGACTCAGGCAGCTCTGTTGAAACCAGGCTTTGTGCATCAAGGCAAGAGGAGATGAAGGGGCCTTGTCACAAGAATGTGGCAATAATTCAGGCTAATCAAGAGGAGGTTTCAGACCAGACTGGTGCAATGGAGTGGTGATAAGAGTTACGACACTGGATATGTTTTGGTGATAGACCTGACAGGGTTTGGCCACAGTTTGGATGTGGGATGTGAAATCATTTGTCACCCCACACTGACTTCAAGGCTCCTGTCCTGTCAGGAAGGATGGACATGCTATTAGCAGAGAGGGTATAAACGAAGGTAGATAGACAGGGGGAGACTTCGCAGAAGAGTTGTTCAGCTTTAGGAATGTTGAGACTGCGCTATTAGACTGCCTTTGGGTACATGCTGAATAAGAATCAGGAGGTCTGCCATAGTGGTACAGGTGGAGATAGGAATTTCAGAGTGGAAATGGGGCCACGATAGACCAGAAGAATCGAAAAACATCACCATAGAGGTTGCCTAAGTGAAAGAGAGGGCAAAGAAGAGATCTGTGATCCCCTGAATCATGATACCTAAGGATCCTAAAATTACTTATTTGCACATTTAGGTTAAAGGTTTGCAGGATGCTGGGGTTGAGTGTGAAGATTTAGGTATTGCTTCTGAGTGCCCCTAACACAGTGCTTTATGCTGCAGAGAAGAGCAGGCAATGACCGCCTGGGAGAAGCAATGCCTGTGTTTTCTCAACCATGGTCCTCCTCCAGCACACCCATGAGGAACACAGCCTAACATGCCCTTATCTTGGAGCCCCTGATGCTCTAAAAACACCCCAGGGCTCCATCTCTTTCAATCAGCTCCTGTCTTTGAGATTCCCAGAGTGCTTGCAGATAGTCTCCTGGGTCTTTATTCATATTATCTACATAATTGTACATGGTGCTGAAGGAAGTGATTACCTCTTATGTAAATACAGATGGAGCTCAGCATAATACTTTATAGTAACATAAGTGCTAATATCACTTTTTTCCCCTCTTCCTAGTCCATCCACTTGACTTCAGGGCTCTTTTCTCAGTCCCTGCAAAAAGGAAAGAGACAGAAGCCTCCTGTTCTCATCCTTCCAGAACCTTCTTTTGTTTGACTTGCTAGCTCCCTTCACTCACTCCCCACACCTGCTCCTGCCTTCACTGTTCTTCTCACCACCCTGGTTCCCTTTCATGCAGATGCTGAACACAATGCTCCCACTGCCATCAGCCCACTCCCTCTCCACCCTCCCATCTCCATATGTGCTCACTGGGGTCACCAAGTCTCTCCTGCTCACACTCTCCAGGGCCACTCTGTACTCTGTGGAACATGCAAATTCTGGAACCTGAGAGGGAATGTTACCCCAGTGTGCTCCCTCCTCCTCTCTCACAAATGAGAAAGGAAATGGGTCCATGTACCCTAAACTACTCAGCATCCCAGCCAGGCCTGCAGCTGCATCCTCAAATCCAAAACATTGGGATTCTTGGGGCAAAGTATATGGAAATCCAAGTCCATTAGAATGTGGGAAGAGTCTAGAGATGCCTGGGTTGCTCAGCAGTTGAATGTTTGCCTTTGGCTCAGGTTGTGATCCCAGGGTTCTGGTATCGAGTCCCACATCAGGCTCCCTGAGAGGAACCTGCTTCTCTCTCTGCCTGTGTCTCTGCCTCTCTCTCTGTGTCTCTCATGAATAAATAAATAAAATCTTGAAAAAATATAGGAAGAGTTTAAATGGGTTCTCCTCAGTTGAATCATGTTTTTTAAAAATTTTATTTATTTATGAGAGAGAGAGAGAGGGAGAGAGAGAGAGAGAGAGAGGCAGAGACACAGGCAGAGGGAGAAGCAGCTTCCTCACAGGGAGCCTGATGTGGCTTGATCCCGAGAGTCCAAGATCACAACCTAAGCCAAAGGTAGACGCTCAACCGTTGAGCCACCCAACGGTTGAGCATTCTCCCTAGTTGAATCATGTTTGCAGCTATTTCCATCATGATGCCAAGTTTAAGAAAAAAGCATTTCTCTGTGAGAGATTTATAAATTCATAATTTATAATTGAAGGAAGGAAGATACATGGGCTTGTGTTTTGAGACAGTGTTGGGCTTCTTCAGCATGATCCATCACCCTTCAGGGGAGCAAAGAGCTGGAAGGAACCAAATAGCTTTGACCTCCTTCACTGCTAAACTTCAAGGCTAAGAGGAAAAGTGATCACCAGGTGCTTTGTACATAATCCATCAGTAGTTACAAGCATGTGCATTGCTTTATGGGAAAAGTGTAAAAGTCTCTAGGGGCATAGAAGTTATGCATCTTAATGTATGAATGGAGGATAAGATTCCTTGATGGAGCAACATTTAAGGTAGACCTTGTGTTTCATTGTTTTATCATCATTCTGTAAGGCCTGCTAAATGTGTTTACTTTCCAGGTAGCACATAGTGCTGGAGGCAGGAGTCCAGCCTATGTTGACCTTGCCCTTGGCCCTGTGTGGAAAGACAGCATGTCCTGTATCACAGACTTTGGAATAGTAATTCTACTAGTGGCAATGTTTTAAACTCATATATGCATGTGGAAATTTCAAAACCTTGCTGCAATTTATTTAGCATTCCTCTCTCATTGTGAAACATGCTTTAAATCAGCAACACTCTCTTCTTTATACTATCATGTTCACTTGTGCTTGGGTTGAAGGCTGGGCACATACCTTCCATGGCAAGTTCTCATGGCCACAGGATCAAAATGGGTGTGATTAGGTGTAGAATTAGGAGCCAGAGCACACATATAATCCGAGTGTTGCTTATCTAAAATATGTTTAGAAAAGCATTGGTTATGTTTTTACCCAGGCCACTGGTGAACATATTCTTTTTTCTTCATTACTTAGAATAATCCATTCTTTCACATGTAGAGAGACAAGGCAAAAATGTTCAGGGAATTCACACAAACCTGTCTGTTGAGGGTTTTAAATGCACACAAACTGGAAAAAAATTTATTTCTTTGCTCTGGAAGTGTCTGGGAGCTCAGTAATAGGAGAATGAGTGGAGATGGTGTTTCAAATCAAGAAGGAATCTTCTTGGGATGCCTGGGTGGCTCAGCAATTGAGTGCCTGCCTTCAGCCCAGGGCATGATCCTGGAGTCCCGGGATCAAGTCCCACATCAGGCTCCCTGCATGGAGCCTGCTTCTCCCTCTGCCTGTGTCTTTGCCTCTCTCTCTCTCTCTCTCTCTCTCTCTCTCTCTCTCTCTCTCTCTCTCTCTCTCTCTTTTATCCTATGCAGATAGAATCTGACAATGCACAATAGCGATGCTATATGCATTTTCCTTGTTTGGGGCCATGTTGAGTGAAAGTCTATAATCAACTGACATTTGAAACAAAAGGTAATAAAAATGACAGCACCAGTTGCAACATGTAGAGTAGCGAGCATTCTCATTCACAGAAACTTTTCTCCCCTGAAAAATAACTTTGTATTTGCTGAATGGACTTGAGAGAACTGCCATGCAATGTCAAGCCTTTTCCATAGGTGTCCTCTTTAATTTGGGGGAATCCAAAGATGAAAAGGAAAAATGACTATTTTAAAATGTTAGAATGTCCATATTTCAAATCTTCCGTATGTGATTTTCTTTAGGATGATTGATTAGTGAACAACTACAATGGGGTATTTGCCTACGATTGATTTCAGTCTCCCTGTACAGTACAAAATCTTACAGAAGATATGATCAGTATGGTAGCAGACCGTGAGCATCCTCGGGGAAGAACTGGTTTTCAATGAAGTGAGTCGAAATTTAGCTGAACCTCAAAGATACAGGAGGGGTCGGGACCCTGTCATTACAACGTAGCATACATTTTAGGGTTTACCCTTTTTTAGACTAATGCTTTCACACTGAATAGGCTTCCCTTGGCAAGAAAGCCAAGGTCCATTTTCTCATTTCTTTGCTCCTCCTCTACTCTGCCTCCCTTTGTCCACCAGGGAGGAAGGCCCAGCGGCAGTTCAGTGCATACTGACTCATCCCATGTGCACACTCCCACAGTGTCTACATCCAGCAAAGCTCCCTGACTAGTTGCTGAGCACCATCACTGGGGCCCTGGCAGTTCCATGTATCCTCCTAGCTCCCACTGAGGACCTGACAGAAGATCTTCTTTGGACAGCAGAGGTAGAAGCCCCAGCCCCCTTCAAGGTAAACTCATTTGTGTGAGACATTTTTTTTCTCCTTCAATAGAATTAAACTATGAAATTATGAGTCTGGACATCTCAGATGATATATAGAATTATCTCAGTGCAGAGAGTTTCAAGTAAGACTGTGTTAATACCTGATACCTGGTACAATAGGGTATTTGATGATGACAAGATCAGTTACAAACTGTACGGTAGTGAGCATTTTCCCCAATGTTTGTCCTTGAAAGTGAATTTTCCCTGATCAAAATGGACTTGCAACATCTTGCGTGAAATGCTTGAGCTTTTTTCATGTCCTCTATGTTTTGTTCTAGGGCCATTGACTCAACCATTGGTTCCCATTTGGCTTCCTAAAGAGAACCAAAGACCTGTGTAAACACTGTATATTGTGATACATTCCTCACATTTATTCTCTAATTGCAGGTGGATGCAGCAAGGAAGGACAATGTTCCTTTTTTTTTTATCATCACCCACTTTCTCAGGGATAATGTAAATAATGAAGAAGGTGAGAAATTGGGTATTGAGATGTAATGAGAGAAACTCTCCTGTAAGAAACTATGACACCTGCACACCAATGTTCACGGCAGCAATGTCCACAATAGCCTAAATGTGGAAGAAGCCACGACGTCCTTCAACAGATAAATGAATAAAGAAGATGTGAGATATATATATATATACACATACATACACACAATGAAATATCACTCAGCCACCATAAAGGTCGAATACCCACCATTTGTTTCAGCATGGCTGGAACTGGAGGGCATTATGCTGAGTGAAACAAGTCAGTCGGGGAAGGAGAATAATCATATGGTTTCACATATGGTTTCTTATATATGAGGAATATAAGAAATAGTGAAAGGGATTATAAGGGAAAGGAGGGGAACTGACTGGGGAAAAATTAGGGAGGGAGACAAACCATGAGAGACTCCTAACTGGGAAACAAACAAATGGTTGTAGAAGGGCAGGTAGGTGGGGAGATGGGGTAACTGGGTGATGGGCACTAAGGAGGGCATGTGGTGGGATGAACATTGGGTTTTATATGTTGGCAAATTGAATTTAAATATTTTTTAAAATGTGCCCATGTATGTGTGTTTATTTTGGGGTTCTTTATGCTGATCCATTGTTCTCCCTGCCAGTTTTTATGGCAGTATCATATTTGTTAGAGTATTGTAGCTTCAATTGCATTTGAAGTCAGGAAGAGTGGAGCTTCCACTTTTTTCTCATGCTTGAGTTTGTTTTGGCTGTGTGAGGTCCATAAGTATTTTAGCATTATCTGTTCTGTTTCTATAAAATGACATTGGGATTTTGGTAGGTGTTGGATTGACTTGTACATTTCTGCTTCTAAGACCTGGTGTCCCAGGACCTCACAGAGTACCTGATATATGTGCATGGGCCCAGGAAATACCTGCAAATGAATGATCCCATCAGGCCAGCATACTAGTCAGCAAGGAACGAGGGACGGATAATTATGTCTTCTTTATCTTTGGATTCTACAGCTCTACTATCGAGGGTGCTAGCCACTAGCCTATATCTCTCTGTGTATAACTAATTTCATTCAATCACTAATTAGCTGTATTAATTATAATGAAAGAAAACACCAAATTGTTCAGTCACACTAGACACATTTCACATGTATCCATAAGAGTTAGAATTGGGCTGCTAAGTTTGGTTGTGAAAGCTATAATAGGCTTGTAAACTGAGAATGTGAACAGTGATTCCCATGGCAGCTCTTATCACAATTCAGCTATGCAACTGTGATCAATGTCTTATTGAAGGATTCCAATTCCACCAAGCCCAACAAATTTCTGAAAACACACAGAAAAAATCAGGGAGTTGCTGTATGTCCCACCACAACCTCAACTAGAGTAGGAGGAATGGGCTTCTCGCTCCAATAACGGGATTGCTCATGTTTATGTGTCTATAGATTTTATTGTGGAGAGCCTCCAGGATCCCAGGAGTGAGGGAGACGACTTTCCAGGTAGGGAGCAGCACTCAGGTGGGAAACAATGGGAGAGGGTTCCAGGTAGCAGTTTGGTTGTATCTGATGATCTGGAGACTATGAAGATGCACATGAAGTCAGAACAGGGAAATATGTGTAGAAGTCGGATTTGCTCATTTCATATTCGAATGACATATCAAAAGGAATTGCGCCTGTAGGCTTTGAGTGTGCTGCCTTTGAAAAAGTGTATCCTTGCTTTGCTCTCTAAACTCTATCGTTCCCATGAAACCTGCGCGCACACACACACACACACACACCTTTACAATTGCCAAATGTCAAGTCTTGGTTTTCTTTGCTTGACGGTTCTTGGAAATTGTGTATGAGAGATTGGGGGACATTTCTCTTAATGATTTATCATGAATGGATTCTGGGAGGGACACAACAACTCTCACAGGCACCTGACCCAGAGACTAAGTTCTAATGTGGTACATGAGAGTTAACTCCCTCCCATTCAACTTCTAGGACATGTGACATCATGGTTCTGTCCTGCTTGCTCCTCCTTAAAGACCACTCCCACACCTAGATATGTAAAGAATATTCCCTCTGGCATTCTGCATATGCTCCAGTGTCCTTTCCCAGACTCCACACCTGACCCATGAGATGGGCAAATATGCTTCCATTAGAGGGAAGACTGTGTAGCTGCACTGCAGATGCTCCATGGCTGGCAGGAATTCTAGAGGACTATGTGAGGGACTGGTGGTCCTGTTGCAGACACTTGTACTCACAGCCTCACTGAGCTGTCACCTGGCATTAACCAGACTCAGGGCAGAGACTCTGGCCAGTGGGTCTAAGGGTCACTGCTTCTCTTAGAACCAAGTGCTTCAGCCATATGGTGTTGGTCTTGCCCTCATCACATCCTTGTCACGACCACCCTGTGATCCTTAGGCAAGCCCAGTCCTTTCATTCCCATGGTCAGGGCAAACCCTGGCAGGTACTGTATGTGGTCACATGGCCGTACATTTCCCAGGGTCTCACTGAGACACTAAGAGAAATTGGACCAATTCCATCCTCTAGTTTTCCCTCACCCTCTGTAACGGTTCTAGGAATTTGAAGGGGTTGCTTAAGGTGAAAATGTCTCCTGAGTATGGTCATCTCAGGCTCAGAACAGACACTGGCTATGTGGAGGTGGTTGGCACTTTCTCCCTCAAGGTCCTCAGCAATCCCTGACCCAGGACAGCTGCTCCCTACACAAGAGGAACCCGTGGATTTAGTGGGTGGGTGCCAGCACACATACTGTCTTTCCTCTGATGCTTCCATATTCCACAACAATGTGATTGGTGGAGGTTGACAGTAGAAAGGAAATGAAGCATATTTAGAAGAGGAAGTGGAACCAGGAAAGGAGCCAGGAGGCAGGAAGGTAATATCAGTCACAGACTGTCATGGAGACAGTGATCTCCTGCAGGAGGGACAGAAGGACACAGGCATCCATTCCTGTCATTGAGAGAATGTGACTCTGGAAAAGCAGGTCAGAAAGCAAAGACCCACTCTCTCCCCTGTAGACATGAGGAAGTGGAGCCTGGGGGAGGACTCAGAGCTGAGGACGAATCATTCAGAATTCAGGGTACCTCATCCCTGGAGCAGCAGGGGCTGGGTTCTCACCTCCACTAACTGCAGTTTCCCTTCCCATGGCCACCCCCACATCATCACTGCCATATCCCCTCGAGTACTTTGCAGATTCTGAGGATTCAGAAGAACCCAGCATCATGGTGCCTGTAATGTATTTTCCTCCTTCATCTCTTTCCACTTTCTCTCTGCAATCCATATAGCTCCGCTTTGTAGCCCTCACCCATTGTCCCTTCCTAGGATTCTCCCCCTGAAGAAAGTGGTATCATCCAGGCACTAGAGGCCTTGCCTCTTCAGGATCTAGGAAATCTCTCTGCAGCTCCCCTCACCCCCTTTAGCACTGCCCTGGCCCCTGACCCTGGGTCTGGACCACTGATTCATGGTGAGCAGTCCTGAATGGCCCAGCAGGGAGCCAGCCTGGGAGTCTGAAGGGCTGAGCTGGAGGGGCCCCAGAGAAGTCTGTGTCCTGGGCACCCCCAACATGGGTCTATTCCTACCATGAGTGGCTCTGGTCATGCTTGATTCCTCCCTTTCTTTCAGCGGCCAAAAACTTCTCTATTACAGGAGCCTAGAGAAAGAGCAGAAGATGCTGTTTCATAGGAGGAACACAAAGACATGTAAATGTGTGGTGCCTCGCATGAAGAGGGTAAGGCAAACAAGGGCATATGTTGCTCATCACTTCACCTTGTTGGGTCTACTGGGTAAGCAGCCAAAATGCCGGGATAGCTGCTATTGCCCGTGACTACAGAGACAAGATGATGGTCAAAATCTATGCAGGCCACTGGAGGGTGCCTGGAGTACCTCTCCCAGGGACCCAGGACCTAATCCATGTACACACCTGAGAATGAAGGGCTACGTCCTCCAGCAGCTGCTTAACTTGGAGGCAGGGGCTCTGGGTGCCTTAGAGCCACCATGGGCAGGCCTGGAGGAGGCGTATGCACTGTTTTATTTCTGAAGAACGCCCTTAGAGTTGTTCTTCATCTCATCTGCAGGACACAGCCCTGCCCTCCCATACAGCTAAAGTCAGCAAGAGAGCTTCCTCTGCTACTATCTAGGTGTGATGAGACATTCGGGGTTAGTTCTGACCACATCTGATTCAGGCATCTGGCAAATGAGTGAAGACACCGGCCCCCCAGTGCTCATGCAAGTGGGAGAGCTTACTTCCCCCTGCTTCGCATCCCTCTGGGCACACAGTAGGCCCGGATTCGAGGAGGGGACACTATAGGATCCCAATTTGATTGGCAGCTGCCCATGTGTTTGGGTCCCCTGAGCCTCCATGAACCCTTGCAGGAGACGGGGGCTAACTTCACGGCACCACTTTTCCAATGTGAGTTTTGGGGCTCTATCGATTCTGCCTCAATTGGCAAGCAAGGCAATCGGAAAGGCAGTGATATCTGCTCCCAATGCAAGTATGTCCAGCAGCTCAGCTTGTACACTGTGCATTCTCACTCCCTGTGTAGTACAGGAGCACGTAGTACCCGCTATGCCACCCACAGCACCCAAATGTGCCCAAGGTCAGTCCACAGAGAAGTCATGTTGAGGGCTCTGAGAAAGACTGGGAAAGTGATTGCCAAGCAGCAGAAGGACCCCACAGCCTGAGACAGACGGGGCTGTTAGGGAAGGGGCCCTCTTGGCATGGCAGACACAGCCTTCATTCAGTTTCTGGGGTTCTCAAAAGGCTTGGGGCCTGCAGAGTTACCTCCACCCAGGAAAAGCTAGAATTATGTCCAACGAAAAAACCTCGACCTCTTTTGGGAGCTGTCTCAAACACAATTGCCCTACGGTCTCAAACAGCTCCATCTCATTATTCTCACAGCTACAGAGAAAGACTCTCTGGCCATAGCCCAGGCCTTGGTGCTCCAAAATGTCCTCACTGAAAGTAGGCCAGAGAGGCCTTTGGTGTCCAACTGCAGCTTTGATGGTTTCCCAGAGAAAGAGCCAGCATAGGGGGACGCCTGGCTGGCTCAGTGGTTGAGCGCCTGCCTTTGGCTCCCGCATGATCCTGGAGTCCCGGGATCAAGTCCCACATCGGGCTCCCTGCAGGGAGCCTGCCTCTCTGTGTCTCTCATGAATAAATGAATATAATCTTTAAAAAAAAAAAGTGCCAGCATAAAAGGATGCACACATAACCATGGGGCAGAAACATACCTAAAGGAACAGCTCAGGTGCACTTGACAGTTGTAGGCCTCAGTAAGATTTTTGTGCTTCCAACCAGCAGACAAGACTAAGGAGCCCTGGGGACAAGACAAAGGGACCCTCTGAGGCTACCACCACACCCTGAGCTGGATTGAGAATCTCTGTTGAAGGGACATCTGGGTGGCTCAGCAGTTTAGCGCCTGCCTTCAGCCCAGGTGTGATCCCGGGGTCCTGGGATGGAGTCCCACATTGGGCTCCTTGCGTGAAGCCTGCTTCTCCCTCTGCCTGTGTTGCTGCCTCTCTGGGTCTCTCATGAATAAGTAAAATCTTAAAAAAAAAGAATCACTGTTGAAGACCTAGCCTTTGAGGAAAAAGCAGCACTCCAGGGCACGCCCAGTGCATTTCTGAGTGACATGAAGACCATCTCTAACCACAGTATTATACAGCCTTCCCATTCTTTCCCTTGCCTACTGCCAGGTCTGCTCCTCCCCCAGGTGTCCCTCCAGCCCCCAGTAGGAATGCATAGTGGGAGAGATGCAGGACTACCAGGGCCCATTGGCCACCCTGGATTCCAATTGAGGGGGCAGCATCTGTACATCCTCTGTCTCAGAGGACAAATAGCTCACCTGGCCTCCTCTCCTGTCAGAGCCCCTTTCCATCACCTCTTCACACTGTCCCCAGCCCTGTCTACCAGCTCACTCCCAAGTGTCAGGTAGGCAGAGCTACCTGCAGGGTCCCCAAACCATTGCCCCTGACCCCTCCATCTCACCAGGCAGGGAGTCTGCACAAGACGCCCAACTCCTGGCTGGCCAGCTCCAGAAGCAGCTGCAGTCCCTGCCTCCGTTCATATAGGATTAAGGCCCATCCTGGATTACCCGCTAATCGGGCAGGGAAGAGACACTCTGCAACACAAGGCCTGTTACAGCTGAGGCAGATGCCAGTTGTGCCTTCCCTACTGCTCCCAGCACTTCTGAGATGGAGCCCCCACCTGAAGTGTGCAGATTCTCCTGTCTTCCTCTGGTAGAGTTCCCGTCACTGGGATCCTAGTGCCCCTCCCCACACCGGCCTGCCCATCATTGCTGCTGGCACTTCTAGCACCTCCACACCAGCACACCTGTATTGTATTCTTACATTAATGTTTTTGTTTTTTGTTTTTTTTTTTTGGTATTTCTCGGCTATACTCTTTTTCTGTGAGTTTTTTCAAGTGGTCATAAATTTCTAAAAGTTTTTCAGTAAAACTTAATGAAAGAAAAAAGAAAACCACATAAAAGTGGACCCATTCAAACCAGTGCTATTCAAGGGTCAACTGTATTTTGAAGGCATGGGCAACATGATTTGCTAATAAATTGGTTGTTGGTTAAAGATGACTCTATATTCACTGATCTGAGCAACCAAAGTTTGCCTTTTAGAAAGAGAGTAGACTGAAAGAGGAATGGTTCTGAGAAGGATCAAGTTTTGTTTTGAATGTATTAAGTGAAAGATGCCAACTAGACAAGAGGAAATGTCAGAGACAGATGAAATAAGAGCATACCAGGAGCTTTCTATCTCTTAGCTCACATAGGTAGCACCACAACACTGCCACATTTTTTTTTTTTAACACTGTACATTTTAAGGAGGAGACTGAGAAACAGAGATTCAGAGAAATAACAAGACTTACACAAGTTTGTACCCACTGGTGCTGGATGTAGAATTGAAGTCCATGACGCTTTGGCCACTACATCAGGAAACTCTTAAGAAAAATATTTGTGTACATTAAGACAGTTATGATCAACTTATTCTTGATTTTACTGTATTATTTTGGGGAGAGGTCATTAATTCTGATTCAAGCTGTTAACTCCACATTTGCTCCCAGGAAATAATGATTATTCATTAGTATTCTAGCACAGTTGTTCTCAAATTTTAGAAAACATAAGATGCACTTGGACCCATTTTAAAAATAAAATTCCAGTGTCCCTTACCCAACTTGTTGCCTTTATCTACAAGCATATTTTTTTTTCTGACAAAAATCTATTCATCCAATCCAAAATGAAACAATCAGGATTATTTTGAGGGTCACAATTACCTAAATATTCAACAATTTCCATCTTTATCATATCTGAAAACCAAAGAAATTCCAACTCATATTTGGGTAAATGAAGTCAATATCCAATTATTCAGGTCTTACCTTGTTGGTCAAAATGGCGGTAATGCAATGCTTTCCTCTGGGAATTCACAATGTATTTTGAGGACATGTCTCTCAGGTTATTAGAAAGGATCAAAAGATACTTCAGGTGATATATGTACCCCTATGTTTATTGTAGCATTATTTACAATAACCAAGATATAGAAGCAACCTGTGTTCATTGATAGATGAATGGATAAAGATATGCTATATATATCTTCTTGTTTGGGACAGGGCTGGTAAAGTACACCTTTACCTCTCCCCCATTCTTTATAATGTGTGGTTTCATATAAAGCATTTGGATGCCTTAAAAGCAGGTCTATACCTCATCCTACTTGGTGCTGTGCATACATTAGTGGGAAGATTGCTGTGGTTCCATAAGGAATACCTACATTTTCCTATCCTAAGTCAAATACTTGCACCATTAGTTACTTGGAGCCAGTTTGACATGGCATTTCCCCTTTGCACAGCTAGGACAAGTGCTTCCACAAGGCCCTACCAGGCTAGAACATGTCCTGATATTAGGGTCAGGTTATTTTTTTTCCCCATGAAGCAAAAGCTACTTGTGGTTACTCACAATTTGTCCCTAACATCTAGAGGTTTTCCTGAATGTATCCTTTGTGGTACTCCAGGAGGTCAATGCCTTGACAGAAATGTCTCCCAACATAGAATAATACTCAGTAACTTTTTAGTACCCATAATCTCTTGACCTTTCTTACTAGATTTAAAAGCTGAATAATTAGGATTGGGGATATAGAGTATAGCTGTGGAATATTTTTTTTCTGTCCATAAGAGCTAAGAGAGTAAACGTCCAGCTCCTACTACCTTTACCATCATATTTGACCACTTGAACTATCTCCAGGGTATAAATTCAGTCTGATGTTTAAAAAATAAAGTTGAGTCCTTCATGCCAATGTTTAACAATCCAATAAAAATGATTTCTGGATATATATTACCAAAATTTACACAGAAGGAGAAACCTAAAGAGTATAACCATTGAATAAATCAGTGTTGCTAAAGCTACATCTTACCCAATTCCCTCCCACGCGAAAAAGGATCTGGCCACTATTTTTAGCCTTTAATGAGTAATTCCCAAGTTATACAAACTCTTTCAGAAAATAAAAGAGAAATACACTCTCTAAATACATTTTGGAAAGCCAGCAAAACCTTAGTAAATTCAATCTAGTTCTCCACTTAAAAAAAAAAAAAATCACCACACACAAATGGATTTTATTCCAGGACTTCTAGGAAATTTCAATTACTTGGAAATTTCTCAAAAAATTATGAATTAAAAAAATAAAGGACGTGACCCATAAAATTATATCAAGATTTTTTTAAAAACTTAATAGAACTTATCAACTGTAAGTATAATGATAATTGCTATAGTGGGTACTATGGGCCAAGTACTGTTCTAAATACCTAACACTTAGGTACTAATTTTATCCTAACAGGCATAGCTTTACTTTACAGATGGAAGAACTGACACGCAAAGAAGCTAAATAACTTGCCCAGGGCCATACAACTAGAAAAGTGGTTGGAGCCAAGATTTGAATTAGGGTACTAGGCACAAAGTCAGTGTTCTTAACTACTGTATTATCTTGCTTTTTCTAAAAACAGGAATAGAGGGGTGTCTGGTGGGCTCACTCAGTAAAGCATGTCATTCTCATTCCTGAGGTCATGAGTTCAAGCCCCATATATGCATGGAGCCTACTTAAAAAATAATAAATAAATAAACAAACAAATAAATAAAAACAGGAATAGAAGGAAACTTCCTAAACACAATAGAGTATTTATCAAAAACCAACAATGAAGTACCAGTTGTGAGATGTCTAAGAATACATGTAGAAGATATCAACGAGGATCCTCTCTGTGATATCCTATGATGAGACACCACTTCTGTCTTTAGAAGCTTCTAGTCTAGTCTGACTAGGGTAGGGAAGGGGATATCAAACCCATTTTAAGGATGGTCCAACTGGAGACCAGAGTTTTAAAAATTTATTTATTAAACAACTACTATATGAAAATTATTATCTATGTACTAAGAGAACAGATACCATAACTAACCTGAAAAAGCCTACGACAGGTTGATATGAAAATACACACATACACATTAAGTTCAGAATAACTGACAAGGTAATTTGATAATAGTTGCACACTGTAGCAACAACTAATTGGAGGGACTGAGATCAAATGAACAGAAGTTTTAACAGGGATAAAGAAGCATGTCAAGACGGTCTTTCAGAGATGAGAGGGATCTGGACGAATCTAAGAAACATTAGCAAAAAGAAAGACAAGTTTTTTTTTTAAGGTAGGGAACACAAATGAGGATGATCTGGATTAGAATGGAAGTGTAAAAACTATATAGCCTCAGCCAAGAAAAAGGAAAGAATCCATCTTGCAATATGACTTGTGTAAGTGATAAAACAGAGGGGGCAGAGGAGAATAAGAAACATAATTTCTGTCCTTGAAAGCACACAATCTGATGATGGGATGCACAACCAGCAATAGGTTAGATTTTTCACAAATTAAAAGAATGGGGAGGGGGGAGAAAGAGTGGGGCAAAATAATTTTTAAAAACTAGCAGTACATGAAATGTGTAATGTTTACTTCCCGAAAAGTGGAAACAATTACACATGAGGATTCCCACCCTCCCACCTTCATGGCTCACTAGAAAGCATGTAAAGATTGGTACATTCTGATGTGCAGTCTTAAGAGATCACAGTAAACATCCTTCTTATAAAAAAAGCTGAACTCGAAGTCCCTTGGACAATTACATCTTAAGAAACTGAGCGAGCCAGACCTGAGTGCTTCTCTCCAGTGTGAGTTCGCTGGTGGTGATTAAAAGTGGAACGCTGACTGAAAGCTTTCCCACACTCAATACATTCATAGGGCTTCTCTCCAGTGTGAACTCTCTGATGCACAATGAGTTGTGAGCTGTCACTGAAGGCTTTCCCACAATCACTACATTTATACGGTTTCTCCCCAGTATGGGTTCTCTGATGTACCATGAGGCTAGAGCTATAACTGAAGACCTTCCCACACGCATTACATTCATACGGCTTCTCACCAGTGTGGATTCTCTGGTGGATAATGAGGTGTGAGTTTTGGTTGAAGGATTTTCCACACTCCTTGCATTTATATGGCTTTTCACCTGTGTGAAGTCTCTGATGTCGAATAAGACATTTACTCAGACTGAATGCCTTACCACACTCATTACATTCAAAAGGTTTTTCTCCAGTATGAATTCGCTCATGGTCAACAAGTTGAGAATTCTGATTAAAAGCTTTCCCACACTCACTACATTTGTATGGTTTTTCTCCAGTGTGGAGGCTCTGATGTCGAATAAGACATTTACTCCGACTGAAGGCCTTGCCACATTCATTACACTCATAAGGTTTCTCCCCAGTGTGGATCCTCTGATGGTCAATAAGATTTCTATTAGAACAGAAAGCTTTCCCACACTCACTACACCTGTAAGGTTTTTTACCAGTGTGAAGTACCTGATGACGGACAAGATTTTTACTCCGAATGAAGGCCTCACCACACTCACTGCATTCATAAGGTTTCTCCCCAGTATGGGTTCTCTGATGGTCAATCAGTTGGGAACTCTGAGTGAAAGCTTTTGCACATTCATTACATTTATATGGTTTCTCACCATTATGGAGTCTCTGGTGTTGAATAAGATGGGAGCTATGTCGGTAAGTATTTCCACACTCTCTGCACTCATAGGGCTTTTCCCCCGTGTGGGTTCTGAGATGAACGATGAGCTGAGAGGTCTGCCTGAAGGTCTTACCACATTCACTACATGAATAGGGTTTCTCTCCTGTGTGGATTCTCTGATGCCCAATGAGGTGTGAACTCCGATTGAAAGCTTTACCACATTCATCACATTGATATAATTTCTGTCCCTTCAGTACTCTTTGATGTGCTGCAGCACTAGGGGACAGGTGTGGATGCTTCCCAAGTTCTTTATATTCATCACATCCACCTTTTGTGAATTTATCTTTGTCCTCATGTGTTATTTTGAAGAAAGCATTTTCCAGTCTGCTCCCTTCTTCATCTGAGGGTTGCCCTTCCAGCTTCTCTGAAGTATCTTCACAGGCAGCTCCTGCCTCTGGTTCCCCAGAAACTACTGCAGAGAGCCCTCTTGATGTCCCATCAGATGACTCTGGTCCCTTAGAAACTGCCAGCTTCACAGGCAACTCTGAACACCGCATCCTAGTGTCACCTGTGGCCAAAAGAGAAGAAGAAAACAACTTTTACACATTTCTTGTCCTACTGAGGAAACAGAGTCATCAGGAGTCAGTACCTGAAAAAAACCTTCACATCAGGAGATGACACATTTTGAACAGGAGAAAAATGGGAAATAGCTCAAGCTTCTCTTCATGGACAGAAAGATGAAGAGGGGAAAGACGGTCAGTAGGGGAGGGTGGAAGAAGGGCTGTCAGGACACAGCCCATTAATTGTTCTAGTTAATTATCCAGTTAAAAAGACAACCAGAAGGCAAGAGAGCAGACTGTAAAGGTGGTGTGACCTCACAGGAGTCACTTAGTAAAATGATGAACTATATAACGTCCTTTCCAACAAGATGCTGTAAGTTTCCATGGTTCCCAGTAAAAATATTGAGGAGAGAGGAGTGGCAAATACCTCAAATCAAAGATGACGAACAGTATGGGCAAACACATTTAGGGAAAAAAAACATATCCAAAGAAGTGATTCTCACATGTGAGAAGATTCAGGTGACAAGATTCAGAGAAGCCACAGGCTCAGAAATGCTGGGGGAAAGTACTGGAAGGGACAGCAGAGCTCTAAAAGGGGGATCCTCTAGTCTCTGGAGCAATGGACTGGTAGAAGTCATACTGCAAGGACTGCATTCCTATAAAAATTAAGAAAGGGATCGATAATTTGAAATATGAATCCAAACATGTCTTTGGTATCTTGATAATGTGGAATCATAGAAAACTGAACAGCTAAATATTTCCTTTAGAATTTGGAAATGGTGGAAGAAGCAAGCGATCAGTCACGTCTAAACACAAAACTGTTGGTTCCTTTTAATCGTATCTTAACCAGGGCAAGCCATCGTGGCATTTCAGCACACAGAAAGTCACAGGTTATCACTGCCTCTCTGACTCCTGAGCCCACCACCCTCTGCCATGTTGGCTACTGTCCTAGACCTGCCAACCAGAGAACCTGTCCTGAAAACACTCCCTTCCAGGAAGCTGTCCTTGCTTTGTGCCAAGTAACTGGTCTCAATACCAGTCAGTCAATATCACGACTGACTAGACCAGGGCACGAGGCCCAAGTGTAGCTTCTCTAATATGTTACACCTCAGCCTCTGCTGCGGCCAGGAGCAAAGTTCTGCCCAAACAGAGATGACACTTAGTGGCTGAACCACCCTTAGAGTCCCTCTCTAAGTAAATTCTGAGCTGGAAATAGGGCAAAAGAAAGAAAACTAAAACAAGTAGGAGATCTAAGCTGAAATGAGGCATGGAGAGAAGCCCAGCCATCAGGAGCCATTGCATGCAGAAACTGTGGCAGCGGAAAGTCTAATAATGCAGCAGCTATGAGGGGACAAAAGATTCAGAGTGAAGAAAATGAGTAGCAGTGGGAGGACAAAAGAGATATGCAGGGAGCAACTGCCTGACATTCTCTGGCATAAAAATTATTTGCTGTTGCTGCTGAGGGCCCTGTTTCCCAAAGGATGCTCCAGCTGGTGGGTTTTGTTTGATCAGGGTTTCCATTCCTTCAGCCTTACTGGAAGTAACACAGCTCAGTACTTACAATAATGTGAGCGGCTCCCTATTCCTTACAACTACAACTTCTAAATAAACCACCTTAGGCCAATTAATAATGAAGTAAAGACAATGCTGATAACTTAAGGCTGAGCGATGGGCACAGAGAGGTTCATTACACTATCCTCTCCACTCTGTCTCATGTTGGCAACTTTTCACAATAAAAATTTAACAAGCAAACAAACAAAAAAGAATGTAGCAAAGAAAATGTAAAGAAAGGAATGCAGACTACACTACTGGGGAACAGAAATCATTACCCAATGAGGCCACGCTGCAATAATTTCCCGGCATGATGCTCCGGTACATGGCTCTCTGACCGACTGCCGGACCTTTCCACTTCCTCTCAGTATAGTCCACAGACAGGAACTCGTACGCTGCAGACACCTGGAACGACAAGCTTCTATCGCTCAGGGATATTATATTCCCAGCCTGAAGACAGACACATCAAGGTATCAAGAGCCCAGGGTGGGGGCCTGGTGGGTAAAGGGTTGATAGGGGGACAGAAGCTGGGATGACATATCTAAAAGGACAAGTCCAGGCCCAGACAGAGTCCATGAACTCAGCAGGCAGGACCTAATTCCAGAGGAAGTCATTAGGCAGGGAAACCGCAGCAGTAGTCTCAGAATTGGCCAGAGCCCTGAAGATGAGCGCTAGTTATGCCCAGGCCACAGACTTGGGAACTCATTGAAGACAGAGTCCAGCTCACCTGGGGCCTGACCATCTGAAGCACAGCTGCTGCCTGGTCTCCTGACTTCCCAGCCTGGGAAAGGGCAGGCACCTGCGAAGCACACAGACCTGAAGGAGGAAAGAGAGCTGTGAGAACAAGCCCTGCCTCGGCTCCAATAGGGTCTGTGTCCCAGTGAGTGGGTTCAAGAGAACCCAGGCAGCTCCACACACTGCCTCTCATCCCTCTTCCATACAGGCGTTACTCTGAGTGTGCTGTGAATTTTCCATGCAGGTGTTATTCTCAGGGTGCAGAGGGTCCCTGGTCAAACAGAAATGGCCATTCCTCCCAGCCCTCCCTCACTTCAAACTCTCTGAAGGAAGCTACACTTCTGCCCACTTTCTCTCCCCGTGGCTTCCCTGGTCTCAGGCCAGCCTGACGTGCCCCTCACGTTTCTGGCCCCTCATTACTGATTTCTTTCCCTTCCTTCTCATTATGGACATTGCAGGCACTCAGGCCCCACAGCATCCCTTTTTGCTCTGTCACAGATCTCATTGACTCGCAATGCCCTAAGGCTGCCTGCCTTCCCAGTTCCTAGCTCTCTTCTAGACCCCTATATTACAGGCTTCCAGCTACCTACTGGACATCTTATTTGGGTGTCCCTCATCACCTAAAATTCAGAGTCATATGGATATTCTTGCCACTTTCCCTTCCTGAATCCAAATATTGGCCAAACTCTAATTTTCAATCCTCTTCATTGTTCCATGGATTCTTTCTCCACAACATGTTTCACGTCTGTCCATTTCTATTCCATTCAGCATTGCTCAGGCAATGATGACCTCACATCTGTTTTGGCACACTACCTTCTTACTGAGGCTCCCAGCCTCTTATCTCACCATTCAATCCACAGTGGTCCCATGAGTCACATCAATTCTCCCAAAATATTGTTTCTAACACATGAGCCCCTCTCCAGCAACATTTTCCTAGCTTTAACCACAAAGGCCTGTAGAAGCAGACCCTGCACTTCCCAAAACACTTCCTCCTCATCCACCTTAGCGGGTTCCAAGGAACCCTGAGAGTCTTTGTATCGTCTGCCCTGGTGCCTACCAGTTCTCCCCACCCCGCTTCAATTTGCTTCCCAATTTTTCACTGTCATGCTACCTCATCCATGAAGTCTCTGCTACCCAACCAGTCCATAATAATGTTTACAATGTCCATATTGGACATCATTTTCTTGGCATCTGATACCTGGGGACAGATATCGCTCACTGTATTTTACAATGACGCCTCTTGCAGGTATGAGTGACTCTCTGTGAACCAGATAATAAGCTCTTTGAAAGCAGTGACTGTGTACAATATATCTCTGGTCCCCAAAGTGCCCATCCATGACATGTGTTTGACAAAAACTTGCTAAATACATGAATTATTAGAGAATAAGCAAAAGGAACAAAGTCACCAGGAACGGAAGACAGAGGGCAGGGCAATGAGGGATTGTAAAAGGGTAGGTCATAGGGAGGAGATAAAGGAAAGGTGACTTGAGGAGAATAAGACTTGAGGCCAGAGCTGGGGAGTTGAGTACCAGAGTGCCCACTGGGGAAGAGATGTGACCCTGGGTCATGAGGAGGCTCCAGGCGGGCTCTAGAGGCTGAACCCTCACTGAAGGGTGAGGTAGGAAGAGATTCTTCTGTTGTACCCAGGGCTGTTGTCTCCTCCAAATGCATTTCCTGTTCCTGTGCAGGAGCTGAATCCTAAAGATAGGAATCACAATTGGATTCAAAAGAGTATCCTTCAAGGTTTGGAACCAAAACCTCTAAAAAAAAACACCCCCAAAAAGAAGCCAGGGGAAAGAACAGCCAATGTCCTAGCCCCACCAGTATAGCCTACTAGGGAAAAAACAGTCAAAGCAGAATCTATAGCTTGCAATCTTGCTTGCTATCCCTCTGTTGAACCTCTTGGTAGGAACCTGAAGACCAGATTATATAACCATTTCCATTTTGTCAATTCTTTAGACACAAATTTACTTATGGACAACAATCTAGAAAAAGGAGCCAAGAGAGCATTCTATGTACTCCCTGTGACCTTAGCCTATAGAACAGACCAATCAGAAGTACGTAGGAAATAAATGAAAGGTATACGTACCTATACATGCACATATGATACTACTGAGGCTGAAAGCAGAAGAACCCAGAATAGTGGCTGACAAACCTCAAGAGAGCTTTTCTAATTTTTCTCAGTGAATGTGTTTCCTCTTCAGAGAAGCCATTCCTAACTAACCACGCTGACAAAGCAAGGGTAGTCTCGCTCTCAAATTACCTGATTACATATTCTATATGTTTTAACCCTTAAATTATCTATTTATACCTTTATTGTCTATTTCTCTCCCCAGTGAAAATATAAACTTCTCTAAGGGTAAGACCTTTGTCTTGATCACTCACTCCTAGAACAATGCTTGGCCCAATGCTGGTGTTAATATTCGCTGACTGATTTTCTCTTGATAATTTTTTACCCTCTTGATACTTACTACTAGGTTTTAGAGTTATCTGCAAATCCAGTTTTCAGTATGTACTACCCCTCCAAAATAACATATATAAAAAAGTCAATTAAAATCAGGTAACACCAATCTTCAGAGACCTTGAGAATACCTCAGAGCACAGGCATTTCTAGTCCTTGCTTGTTGTCATCAAACCAGCTCCTCACAATCTCATAGTTACTTTTTCACCAGCATTCGGAGCTGCAAACCTAAAATACCATCTAAATGAATCACGTTTATCGGTTTATTTGCTTGCACTGGCACATACATAATACAGCATAAAATGAAAGGAAGTTCTTCCCAAACCCTAATGGATTTGCCCCATTGGGTTACATCTGCTGAGATATGAGATTCTCTTCTTTACTGTATATCTCTCCAGCATAGTCCTAGAACCAGAAGTCTCCCTGGAGTCTCCACTGGACAGTTTCTATAAATGGGAATTACAGCTCTTAAATACAGCTGCTGTGGGTACTGGAAGATAGACCTTAACTACATCATGATAATACAAACTTGAAATTCACCAACAATTAAATGCTGGTTCAGTTCTGTTCATTACCTAGGACTCAGACTCCTAGGCTGCTTTTTTTTTTTTTTAAGATTTTATTTATTTATTCATGAGACACACACACAGAGGGGGGGGGCAGAGACACAAGCAGGAGAAGCAGGCTCCATGCAGGGAGCCTGACATGGGACTCAATCTGGGGTCTCCAGGATCACACCCCGGGTTGAAGGTGGTGCTAAACCGCTGAGCCACCAGGGCTGCCTTTGTTTTCTTTGTAGGCAAGAAAACCCCATTCCAATTTTCTTTCCTATATGGCATTCCACAGCAAGATAGTAGGGGAAAACTAGTGGCTTAGAACCTAGGGAGCTGGAAAATTCTGATTCCTACACTTGGTAGGAATCAACAAAAACCGTAATTCAGTTAGAGCTCAGGGACAGAGAGAACATTCACTAATTCTGCCATCTTAGATGAATCAACCTCTCTGCGCTTGTATCACTTGTCAAATGGAGGTATGATTACTCTGCATATTCTGTAAGCCATATTTCAGCCCTGCTAGAAGCTGAAATAAGATACAGAATATAGGGATCCCTGGGTGGCGCAGCGGTTTGGCGCCTGCCTTTGGCCCGGGGCGTGATCCTGGAGACCCGGGATCGAATCCCACGTCAGGCTCCTGGTGCATGGAGCCTGCTTCTCCCTCTGCCTGTGTCTCTGCCTCTCTCTCTCTCTCTGTGACTATCATAAATAATAAATAAAAATTAAAAAAAAAAAAGATACAGAATATAAAAGCATTTTTTTTTTTTATAAAAGCATTTTATACACATTGCATGATTCTGCAGCCCAGCAGGGATTACTCTACAGTCCTTTCCAGCCTCACTCCTGCTGAGCGGAATGACTCTGATCTGCAGTGATACTCCCTATCTCCTCCGGCAAACTGCCATGTAAAAGATTGTTTATTCATTTAGCCATAAATATATTTTCCGTGCCTGTGCTCAGTCCCATCTCATGTCTTCCACATCAGAAAACTTAAGCTCGCAATAATGGCAGAATAAGAAATGGAAGTCCCAAGACCCTACTCCTAAGCAGGAGCCAAGAGTATTCAGCTGCCCTGTCAACTATTAGTCACTTTCTTAAGTCTGTGACTTAGTCACCTGTTTCTGAGGCTCCCTGGACAAAAGATCAAGTTTTAATGGAGGGGGCATTCTCTTCAGCTAAAGCAAACAAAGGTGAGAAACACAGAAATTTTTCTTCCACCCTCCTCAGTAAACGGCACTCAAAACAATTTCTTCAGCTACTTGTTAAACCTAATCGCTCTCTAGACCCTGGTGATGGCTGATCTATTCCTGTTTTTACTTTTGTATATGAAGAAATAATGGTTGACAATGGATTTAATGCCAAATAGGCTGGTACTCTTGGAAAAAGGAGTAGCCCTCAGACTCCAATCAACTGGAACTGATTCCCTAGGCATAAATATCTTAACTATGTTTCTTAAGCTATGGATAAAATGATATGCTGGGTACTTGGGAAATGTAATATACTAGTTTTCCCTGGTAAAGCTCAAAGGAGTAAAAGAAGAGGAGACCCTAATCCACTCTGCTTGGTTAATTACAAGAAAGCAATTTTAGACTCATCAGATAGAAATAACTTATCCACGTGTGATGGTCAATTTAGCACTAATCTGGGTGTTATGAACGTATTTTGTACAAGTGATCAAAATACATATTTAGTTTACTCTAAATAAAGATTATCCTAGATCATCTGGATAAGCCTGACTCAATCAGTTATAAAACGTTGAAATCAGAGCTGAAAGTTTCACGAAAAAGTAATTCTGCACGTTGACAGCACCTTCAGCCTGTGCCTGCATTCTGGTTGACCTTTCCTGATGGCCTGCTCTACAGAGCTGCGCCACCAGCTCTCATAACCACATAAGCCACTCTGTAGTAACAATATAAATATATACACAAATATAAATATATAACATATAATTTCCTACAGGTTTTGCTTCTTTGGCTAATCCCTGACTGATACATCTGGCCATAGAACTAGTTAGCCCTGTGGTCCTAGAAGCCAGATTTCCCCGTTATCATACTGCTGACTTTCCAACTTTTCCTCTAATTTGAATTACCTTGGCTTTAAATTTGAGAAAACTCTATGAAATAGGGTAAACTAAAATTAAGATTAAAGAAAAGAGAGAGAGAGAAAGAGAGAAAGAGAGAGAGAGAGAGAGAGAGAGAGAGAGAGAGAGAGAGACCCCAGTTGAGTTAGAAAAGAAACAAATGATTATGAGGCCCTGAAATGTCCCCTCTTAAAAAGAAGCTAAAATGCAGGAAGAGAAATAACAGACTCTGCGAAGTCCGAGGAAGCAATGAGAACTTTTCAAATGAAGGCCCATGTTATCAACATACCCAGAAATCTACTTCTCCCTACCATACTCCCCCATTCTAACCAGTATGTAGATCTTCTATCTGCTGGGAGTACTGTGTAGATCTCCAGGTTGAAGGGAGGCTCATGACACAGTATTTCACAACATGATGCACAGAGCTCGTTTGGGATCTGTATTTTTGTTTATGGCCTGAAGCACAAAACTATTTCCTCTCTACCCATGGAACTGGCTCAGGAGTCCTAAGGGCAAACCAGCCTAGAGCCTAGGGAATGGAGAATGACTATTCTCAGGCTAATCCAAGCACTAGAGAATGGTTCCAGATGGCATTCTAGACTCATCTGCTCACCTCTCTTGGTCCACTGAGGTGTCTCTGAAAATCCTCCACCACAGCCACAGCCTCTTCACCACTTTCAGGGTGATGTAGCTGCACCCAGGTCCGTAACTCTCCAGGTAGGATGCTCAGGAACTGCTCCAGCACGAGCAGCTCCAGGATCTGCTCCTTGGTGTGTACCTCTGGCATCAGCCACCAGCGGCAGAGCTCCCGGAGCCGGCTCAGTGCCTCCTGTGGCCCAGACATCTCATGGTAACATAACTGTCTAAAGTGCAGCCGGAAAATTTCACAGACAGGTGGGTGGTTCTTTTGGAGACTACAGCCCTGACCCCAGGTCTGGCTCCCTGGCTCTTGCTTCATGGTCTGGCGCCCCTCCTGTTTCTGGAAAACAGCACCCTTAGGGATGAGGCCTAAAGTTCCCTTGCCTTGGGTGGCCATTGGGACCTCAAAGGGAAACTTGTTTCAGCTGCAGTTTGTCCAATTAAAATGATGCTTTGTACTTCAGGTCTCAGGAACTGTTTTCAGAGTTGGGGGCACAGGGCGATGGGGGTGTCACCTACAGAAATATCAAGACAGAAATTAGAATCCCAGAGTGTGGAGTCCTAGGCTAATGACAGACCATCTACAGTTAAAAACCAAAGCTCCAGTAATGGCTGGGTGGCTCAGTCAGTTAAGCATCTGACTCTTGGTTTCCACTCAGGTCATGATGTCAGGGTCATGAGTTGAGCCCCACGTGGGGCTTGGCAATTAGCATAGTCTGCTTAGGATCCTTTATCTCTCCCACTGCCCCTCCCCCTACTCACATGTGTGCACACGCTTGCTCTTTCTCAAAGAAATAAATCTTTTAAAAAACCCAAAATCAAAAAAAAAAAAAAAACAAAGCTCCAGGGGGAAAAAAATGAGGCACAATCAGGGCAGTCTCTAAGCATCTCTCTAAGGGATGTCCCTCCTTAAACCTTCAGTGTCTTCCATAACCCAAAATGATAAAACCTAAATGTCTATACCTAGCATTCATAGCCCACTTGGCCTTGGGCTCTGTTCTAGACATATACCTTACCACTCTCCCCAGGTACCCAGGCCAGAGAGGCTGCAATGATCTCCAAATGAGCAAAATGCAAGATGATCCATAGGGTATATAAGAACACATGAAATTGTTACTTAACTCATATTTAGTTTATGTTTCATAAAGGGTATTGAAATTTATAAAACAGTACCTATATTTAATTTACAAGTACACCTATGATGGAAGTTAATGCTGAAAGCTCTTCTACTCTTCTCCATTGTGACAGTGATGCACAACAGAGTTTGGGACTAAAGCTCTGGAGACACAGCTAGAAGCCACTCATACTCTAGCCCTGTTTGGGTATTTCTTTTTCAATTTTTGACAAGCTTCTACTCACCTGTCAAGACCCAAAACAAATACCATTTTCCTCCTGAATGTTTGCTTTCCTGATTGCCCCGTGTACGAAGAAAGCTAGTAACCTCCCTCTCTGTACTTCTCACTAAAACATCGTTGTTTTGACTAGTTTATGCAGAACGTACCACTCACACCCTCATGGTAGACAGCCACTGAAGGAAAGGAACCCAATGGAGGAAATAAATGCCAGACCTTTTTCTACTCAACCACCCCCCACAGAAAACCTTCCTGATCTCTCCCCGCTCCCTGCAGTTATTGCCTCAGTGAGCCCACAGTACCTTTTTCATCCAAACCTCTACTAGAACACTTCTCACACTGTTTTTGTGGTTCACACTGCATCTCCATTTCGTAGAAGGACTCAAAGTGCAGGCCTGATTCCCCATCTTTTTTTGTAAGTGCGCGTACAGGGCACACAGAGGTACACATCTGGTAAACGAATGAATGTGGCTCATTTGGCTGACACCGAAGTGGGAGAAGACTTTCTTCCAGTTTACATACTGAACTCTGAGAAGCCGCACCTTAACGGTAGCTGGGGCATCTCTGCTAGTCACCATGCATTTCAGTAACCTTGGTAAGCTACTTCTCTCTAGGTTTCGATTTCTGTAAAACAAAACAAAACAAAACAAAACTTTAAAATAACTGTTAATTGTGCTCTGAGATCCCACACCCGTAGAGAGTTTGATCATCTTCCTACTTCCGTAACAGTTCTGAGTGCTCAGCGGCTAATCTCATCACCTGCACTTTCGGGTCTCCAAGGGACGCTTCACACGTTTGAAATTTCAAGACTGTCTGACCCCCTTCTGATGCTTCGTACTGTCTCTCAGGGCAAGGTGGGGAAAACACCCATCTATACTTTGCGTTAAACCAGGGCTTCTGCGGCGCCGCTCACCTGGCCACGTGTGCCTTTTCCCCGCTGTACCGGCAGGTGCAGGCTCCCGGCCGGGCACCGGGTCCGGGGCACGGGACGGAGAGGCGGCTGTGGAGCGTCCCCGGCCCGGGCGGCAGCTCCCTCCCACCCCCGGTCCGCTCACCGGGGTACCGTCGCCTCGGGCCCTGGGCGCGGAACGCAGTCGGAGCCCGCAGACGCCAACACAATGGCCGGGCCGGAAGCGTGAGCAGGGCCCACTTCCGGCCCCCCCAGGATCCCGGAAGTCTCTGCGGCGAAGGGCGGGGCCGCGGGCGCCGGGACCGCCCCCTCCCGGCGGGCGCCGCGCAGCAGGAGGGGGCGGAGTCTCCGGTGAGCTCGCCCGCTGCGCACGTGCCTCTCGCGGACGGCTTCCCCCCTGCGCCGTCCCGGCGCCCCCAGCCCTGCCGCTGCCGCTGCCGCTGCGGCTGCCGCGTCTGGTGACCTTGAGTCACACACCCAGCTTCAGAGACTGTTTCTGTCACCTGAAAAGTGCCTCCCAGGCTATGAACGCTGGCGGGGGTAGCCTACAGACGAGACCCTACAGAGCTTGGGATTTTGGAAGCCAAATCCTGAGGCTTCCCTTGTTGCTCTACTGTATGTGATGCCCAGGGCATTTTCACCCAACCTGAGTAAGCACGGGGCATCTCCATCTTACTAATGAAGACACAGGCCCGGTGACTGATACTTTGGCCAATGGATGTGGTTACTGTTCCCTAGAGTTAAGCACTGGACATCTGGCCAAGGAAAGGCCCCGATGGAGTGCCGAGGTGCAGATAAAAACTGCAAAAGTAAACGCACTTGTCTAGTATCTGGGTGGCGGGAGTCACCCAGGTGCTCTTCACCTGGAAGAATGGTTTGCACGCAGAGGCAGTTCTTGGAGTTAGACGTGGGGGGCCTCAGGGACCCTCACAGTCCTGCTGCCTGGAAGCCCATGTCAGGCGTGGAGACCAACGAGACGAGCAGGCCTCCGAGCTTCCTGAACAGAACTGGAAGTTGCTCCAAGGCCCGAAGACCACGAGGGAATTGCTCCCGGCGCATCTCTAGTTCACGAATCTTCCCAAGCCCCTGCTGGTGGCCTGGCAGCTGGGCAGGGGTGGGCTGTGTTGCTGTGTGTGCCTCGTTCCCCCTGCAGGGGGGAGCTGCTGTCTGGGGCTGCCTCCACCCGTTGTTGGTGCTTGTATTGACCTTCACTAGTGCCTTAGATGAGACCAGCCCAGAGAGCGGTGGGGACCTTCCGCTGATCTCAGTGCATCAGCGACCCTGCTTGGTTGGAACGCTGGCGTCCGCCTCCACACCTAGTACCCCCCGACTTGCCATGCTTCCTTTCCGGGGCTTCTACCCTAGGAGTTTTAGGAGAGCAGGTACCGTACCGTACCCTGTACTCCGTTTGGCTAAATCCCCGCTCTGGGCCTGTCGTTGGGACCCCAACCCTCTCCCCCCGATCTCCAGCTCTGCCTCTGGCCCTTCCTGCTGCAAATTTGCAAACTGGAAAGAGCATTTCCAGGCCGTCCGACGCACAAGTCCCAGCCACCATAGTTGTTAGCGAGGACTCACGGACTGCACGAAGGATCCTTAGACTCGTTAGTCTAGCCACCATCTTCTTATTTTACAGGTGGGGGAATGGGGCCACAGGACGATAGAAGCCAAGATCTGCCTTTCATTCCAGAGACCTCCTTCTGAGCCAATTTCCATGACTTTGATCCTCTGGAAGCACCATTTTGGTCTTGGAAAGAATAAACTTGACACTGTTGGTTGTGATCTTTCAGTTTCTGGGTTTGTTGGATCTCAGATTTGAAATCCAAGTTCTTCTAAAAGCGCCTCAAACATAGACTAGATTTCTCTCCAGCCTTGTAAGTATGACAGACCTGAGCTCTGTACTTAACTGCACAGAATTTGTTATCTTGGACAAGTTATGTATCCAGTGAGTCTTAAGTCTCTTCATTTGTGAAATGGAAGAAAAAAAAAAAAAACCATGCCTGTTGACACCTCCCAGTTGGGAGGATTAAGTGAGGTAAGTTGCGAGCTTTGACATGTCCTAATAAGCACTATATAAACATAAGGAAGACAACTAAGTAGAAACTTTGGATTTTAGAAGGGAGATAAGAGAGTAAGAGTAGACCTTGAAAATGTCAAGGCAGATGTGGGTGACTGGCAAAATGCAGTATTTTATACCCAACATGAAATTCAGAGAGCCAAGGGAGGGATTGATTTTGAAAGAGATCATAGCCTCAAAGGGAATAGCATTGAATTGAGCCTTGAAGTAGGACTTGGACAGGTTTTGGGGAAGAGAGGACAATATGGTCAAATATCAAGATATATGTATTTTTGGGAAGGGGTAATCATTTCAGTTCAAGTTATTTCCTTTTGTAAACTGTAGGAAATAAAAAAACAGTGATGTGATTTCTAGTTTTGATGTATAAAATCTCTGTGCCCCCAAACCACCATACCTCCTGATGATCCCGTTGTGACACCACTTTAGAGAACAGGTGATACTTAACATTCCTTATTGCTACTTAAAAAATGGAAAGAGAGCCAGGAAGAAGCTGAACCCTGATATTTTAGGGAATTTGTAAATTCCCTCCACATCTGAGGCCTCTAGGATGCCTCCATCTGACTTTGTAGCTCTTTCATAGCTAAGCATACATCTTTTCTAAGAGTAGCTAGTGCATTACTCTATACCCCAGTAACACCAATGTTCTACACACTAGTGTTTCTACAGATTAAGCATGCAGAATTCCCTAAGTGAGTAGATGTTTCCTCCTCAGAGGAGACATTATGGAAGGGCCAAGCTGTTTCTCCCCCATTTAGAGGTGGACAGGAGTATATTTTCCTCCTCTCTTTCGTAGTAGGGCCTGAAACAATACTGTCCTTAGGGGTTTCTCACCTATAATGAGTTAAGCCTGCACCAATTCTCTGTCATTTCTAGTTCCTTCCACTCTCCAGAAATGGATAGAGCCTGAGAGGAAGGTTCTCAGTGAAGAAATCTGATACCTCTCTAAGAACTTTTTAGGGTTAGAAGGGGCTTGTTTTCCAGTCATTTCCAGTCATAGGGATGCACAATAAAGTTTGGAGAGTAAAGCTCTAGTAGAAATTTCTCAATTTCAAAGTGTCAGTTATATTTTGGAATTTGGCTTATGTTTGCTCTTTGCTTCTAGGACTAAAATAAATGTTAAAAAAAATAAAATAAAATAAATGTTGTAGATATTCTCTCTCTAGAAGAGAAACAAGTTTGGATTTTTCTAGACCGCTTTTCAGAATTTTGTTTCATCTCATTAATCCTGATCACATACTTGAGTTCCAAGCAATTTCACACTGCTGTGATGTTTTCTAATTTCAAAACTCATAGCAGATGCTAACCACTAAACATCTCTGGAAACACTGTCTGAAAAATGAACTTATAGCTGGCTTCCCCACCTATGTCTTTGGATTTTTTTCCTCTAGTCTACATTACTTCAAGCAATTTCTGAAATGTCAGCTTCATTGAAGTCAAGCTATTATTACATATACATATCTATTATATCCCAATAGATTGATGCAGAAGCAGATATAAGATTCTTGCCATCTTCTATTAAACAGTCTTTAGTCAACTAATCCAGCAGTTATCACTTTAGTTTACTTAAGTCCAAAATCTCTGATAAGTGCACCTAGAGCAGTAAATTCAGTCCAATCTAAAATTACCCTGTATATTTTTTGGATCCAATTTATAGGGTTCTCGTATAACCCCAGGCAGATAATACCCACTTAGGAAAGATGTATATTCTTAAATCTCTAATCGTTCTCTCATAGGACTCTGCTGAAGGCAATAAGAAGAGCAAATACCAAAATTCTGAGTCTTTCCTGTAATTTCCTCTAATGTTATAGCTTTAGTCAGCATGTGGTCTGCAGTGCAGTGGACTACACGTGACTGAATGAATGCTTTTCCACTGTATAACCAGGGTCACCAGCAGTGTTCTACTATAATGGGGTTTCTCAGTCCTAATCTTTTTGAATCAGATAACTCTTTGTTGTAGGGAGCTGTCTTAGCCATGTAGGATTTTAGTAGAATTCCTGGCCTCTACCCATTTAGATGTCAGTAGCATCCCATCCAGTTGTGACAATAAAAAATGTCTACAGATGTCCTCTGGGGAATACTACAAGTTCCAAATTCTGTATCAATGAATAATGCTTTGAGCAGTAATGGAAACCTCAAAAACAGCAGCTTTAGCAAATTAGTATATTTTTCTCAATACCAAGAGCATTGCATCTACATTGCAAGTAGGACTGAAGGGAAAGGTCAAATTATCTCCCCAGAAGGCTTTTAAAAAGTTTTGTGATAAAAGTCAACTTCAGGGACCCCTGGATAGCTCAGCAGTTGAGCGTCACCTTCGGCTCAGGGCATGATCCCAGTTCCAGGGATCGAGACCCACATCAGGCTCCCTGCAGGGAGCCTGCTTCTCCCTCTGCCTAGGTCTCTGCCTCTATCTGTGTCTCTCATGAATAAATAAATAAAATATTTTTTTACAAAAGAGACAATTTCACCCAAAACTTTCTCTTACATATTAGAACTAAATATATGGCCACCCTTAGTTCTCTTAGAAGGCTGAATATTTTCAATTTCTTGCCTCTACATCAGCAGCTCTGTCCAATAAAATGTACTATGATGATGGAAATTTTCTATATTTGTTCTAAGAATATGATAGCCACCAACCATTTGTGGTACCTGAACATTTGAAATGTAGCTAGGTAGTATGACTGAGGAAATTAATTTCAAATTTTCTTTGATTTAAATTACTTTAAATAGGTGTATATGGCTAGTGGCTACCCTATTGGACAGCTACAACTCAAAGTAGTCAAGAAGAAAAGGATGAGCAAGTAAAGGATGAATAGGTAAGAAAAGTAAGCCAACCTAGAATATCTGCCCCAGGGCTACTCTTACTTTCTTGAGCATCCCCTCAACCTAGACGTCAGTGATAACATACTCTCAGTTCACCTTCTTTGACACACCCTGCCTAATATATAGCATCAAACAATTACTGGGCTCTCAATATGGACCAAACTCTTCCTTCATCCACTCCATAAATGTCAGTGTCCCCTGGAGTTTTCCTGACCCTCTTTTCATGTCACTTTTCACGCTTTCCTTCTTTGAATTAGCTCATTGTTTCACCCACCTCCCACAAACTGATGACTTCCAAATCTAAATATCTACTACAGTGAACTCCAAC